TTCAGAACATTCTTTTTCCTGACTATCAACATACTTAGAGCAGTAATTATACCAAAATTGTAAAAATATATATCTAAGCATTATGCATTTATTGCAAATGGTGTTGGTAATATTTGCAGGTTAATTTTCTACAAACGTCCTGGTTCATGGAATCTGCTACACAATGTTTTGGTCAGTAACCTGCTCAGGAACAGCGCCTTAATGTCAAAAGAAATATTCTGCAACCATCTAGGTAGTTGGAAGAATTTGTTTAAGTGATTTTAAAGTATAGGAGCAGGCCAGATATGCATTTTACTGTACAGGGTCATTATTTTTAAACATTTGTAATGTTGGACTCACAGAAATTGTTTATTTTTTTTTTTTTTTTTGTATATAGTCAGCCTAAGATGGTTTGGTGATCTTTAGTTTCTATAATTTTAAGAGAAAAAAAAATCACAAGGACATTATGGGAAAGTAGCATTTATACCTTTCATTTGATAATGAAAACCATAAAAATGTTAATAAATCATATTTAATGGTTAGGTTTTAAAAATCAAACCATAACCTGTGAAATTAAGCTTAAGCAAAAATTCAATCTGGAAGAGGCTTATTAGCTTCACCTGGACCACCTGTCGCTCTTTCAGCTTCAGCCAATCAAAATCGGGACAGCACCTCCTCCGGAGCCAATCATCTTTTAAGATGCCCTTCTTGTAGCCTCCCTCAATCAAGCCAGCAAACTCCAACCAACCTCCACCCCATCTCCTCCTTGACTTTCAGACCTTTTTCAGTTCCGCTCACCCTCCGGCTTATTCCACCACCAGTGTCCAAGCGAATGTTAATTCACTGCATCAAAGTCCTCTGCCGGGGCCCCAGCGCTGAAGAACTCATTTAATTTATGTCTGAAACTTTTCTAATCACACCATTTCTCCATTTGAGTCTCTCCAGGTTGAATTAGAATTAAACTAAAGGGCCTGCGGACACTACAATTGTTTCTTTTTAGTATAACATGGTTTTATAGTTTGCGGCTGCACATATAACATTTAAATAGATAAACATCTTTCATTCCAGAAGCAACACTCAAACTTTATATTCAAGACAGGATTGGATGTGTAAACCTGGTGAGCAGAGACATCTGCCAAGTAGCTCATTTCCCCAGAAATATTCTGACTTCCACCTCAAGTTAATACCTGGATTCACAGAATCGTTCAAAACATTCCTGGATCCAGATGGTGATCCGGATCATCACAAATCATTTGTTGCCAGTAAAAATATGCAACTTCTCTAACATTTCAGCTGAATATATACATAACTTTTTGGGGGATTTGGAAAAGAGACAAACATATAGACAAACTGATTCAGTGTTTTTGCAATTTCAACCTCTTTGGTTCTTTATATAATGTAACATTACTCCATTAAAGTGTCATTTTTAGGTCTGATTTGGTGGATTTTTCTGATTTTGAAATAAATTCAATAAACAAAAGAATTTCTCAAAGCAGTGTCAAACATTTGAGAAACTGAAAACCTTAATCTCCCTCTTAGAACTGTCTGGATTAACCTTTTATAGGGCAAGTTTCCTTTTTTGATCATCTGCATACCCCTTACAAATGGAGTTCCCTCCCGTCTCTCAGTCAGGTCTAGAAGCACTAGATCTATATCCAAAGATCCTGCTACATGGCTGTAAATCTTATTTTGGCATTTGACCAATTAGATGAGCCCTTGAATGATATATTACCCACTGGAAATTAAGTTGGAAAAAAAGTAAAGAAAAAATGTAAAACGTTGAAAAGTAAAGTTAAAAAAATAATAAGCCTAGTTAACTATTATATTTAGGTTTATAAACTAAAAAATGTCAGTTCCAGTATCAGGATTAATGTCGTTATGTTGGACCAAAAAAAATGTGTTTCTTTCACTCTGTTTTTTTCATGAATTTCTTATAGCAGCACCTTTGCTATTTTTCTTAATATATTCGGGCAAGTTGGTGTTTCTTGTTATTACATTGACATTCGTTTTGACCATCAAACTATCCTTTTTTATTTTTATTTTACAAAGGTAATAACTCTATTGGATTGAAATTTAGATTTTTTTAAGTATTTCGCTGAGTGCTCTATAAAGGGTTAAGAGATTGTTGTAAATGTAGACAGACAAGTAGCATTAAAAAAAGAGAAAAAAGTAGTCCTTGTGTTCCTGGGGATCATCCTGCTGCTTGATGACCTGAAGTTTAAATGGCTGCTTATAATCATCTTCCATATGTGTTTCCCATGTTTTAAATCTCAGTCTGTCCTGTCATAACATCCCTACACATGTAATGTGTGACCATGTCTCAGGCTATAGCCAGAGACCCTAAGTGTTTACATTACCATCAGCCCTGTACTCCATCAGGAACATGCTGCTGACTTCAGGGACAAAACCTTTTACTGATATGAAGAAAAGCTAAAGTTCAGTTTTATTTTTAATACTAAGCTAAACCCTACAGTGACCATTTAGTACTCATCAGGAATGAGTGTTCACTGCAACTCAGCTGTACCTTTCTCCGAAACATCTGCACTGCTCTTTCTGTACCAACTTTATCTTAAAGGATAAATGTGCTGGAACATATTAGAGCTGAGCAGCTAAACACTCACTCCAACACATACAACCAGCTTAATGACACCAGTTAACTCCATGTGTATGTCTGAACTTTTTGAAGACATGCAGAAAATACAGCAAGGCTGAATGCAGCAGAGACGACCACTTTGACAGTAAGCTCTGCTCTGCTGACTGGAGGTACTCTTTAAAAATGATGGAAACACAACTTTAAAGACTATAATTCTCATTGTTTGATAGTTGAAAAAAAAAACAGATGCATCAAAAGTCCACAAACATCATGCCTTCTCCTTATAAGCGTTTATTTTTCTTACAGCCTGGCTTTAAATGAGGCGGGGTAACACTAATTCAAGACAGACAAACATGTTCCCCTAATAAACTATCAACTTACTTTATTTACTTACATACATATAGCTGGGTGTCATCAGGATAGTGGTGAACGTCTTTGTCCTTTTTTATTTTTACATCTCTCAAGAGAACTATGCATCAGAGAAAACTGATTCAAATTCAGAACTTTGAGGGACACCATAAGAAAACCTAATTACTGACAAATGACTCATCTTTCTGTTGCTTGTAAAATAAAAAAATATATATTTTCTAGCATGTTTCTGTCATAGTGAGTGTCTGCTTGTCATTTTAAAAATCTTAGTTTATCATTTTTTGGATAGAGGAGCTGTGTCAAATAATTCAGGCTTATTGTAATAAAAATCCTGAGGTAGCATTCATTTAGTATCTTTAGTCTAAAGTACACTCAACATTTTTAAGATAGGATTACGGTCTTAAAGAAGTTCCCGAAATAAATGTTTAAACATGCTGCTCGTTCTATGTGCAGATTTTACTGGTTGGAAATCAGCATGATGAGCATGAGTCTTGTGCTTTTGGTAGCCAGAGTAATCCTGGACTCTATTAGGAGGAAAGTAAAGGGATGTCAGTGTTTTTTTTTGTTTTTTTGTTTTTTTTCTTGAGCTCTGTTTTCTCCTTCAGTGTTGGAGAGGTTGCTGTGTGGCAACATTCTCTTTTTTCAAATATTCTTTTATTTCTAGTATTAAGCTTTATCCTCCCTTGTTCATCATGTTATGTTTTTAATTGACTTTATAATGTTTTTTTACAAGCCAAGTACCAAAGAACAAAGCTCCTGTAGTCAGTTAGTCTCTTTAGATATAGCCTGGTGGAAGTGACCATGCACACGTGGTTATCACAGACCAATCCAACGTGTCTTACAGGATGGTTGGACATGCAAAATCATAGTAATCAATGCAGTAAAATGAGAGTAGCTGCTTTACATGTCAGCTTAGTCTGGTTTAGAATTTAGGCTTTTCTCTTGTCTTACAGCCTGAAATGGTAATGACTGTGTGTGACTGTTGTCCTTTCAACCGCTGCAGTACAAACCCACTGAGCATTTTTTATTCTTTACTACTACTCTAGAAAATGTGTAAAGAACAACTTTATTTCTATTGTATGGTTTTGAAATAAAAAAAATATAATTTTTTTTTTAAACAAAAAAAAAAAGCAGGATAGATGCATTTCCTTCTATAGGATTTGGATATTTGTGGAAAAACAGATCTGAAAATATATTATTGGTTATCGTAGTGTTATTTCATGGATTCTATGAAATAGTTTAAAGAGTTTTAAAAAGCCACATTTGTTATTATACCCGTATTTAAGAATATCTTTATTTCTGACTTAAGTTATTTCAAGCAATAGTAGAGGGTCCAAAGAGCCGCTTGTGATTTAAGAGCTTCGAGCTGCAGAGCCCTGGTCTAGACCAGCAGTTCTTCACACTTTCTGAAGGGCTTTCAAGGCTTTGCTTTTGATTCTACCTGCATTCCCATTAATTATACTACTTATTAGCTTAGGGCTGTGTGTATTAAACAAAACATGAAGAGAGCAAATTGAGGTGCAAAGAAAAACCGAGAAAAAATAAACTCAGCAAAGACTGAGGCATGAGAAGAAGGAATCTCCTGTAACCAGTCTTCTGTATTTGTTGAAATCAAAACTGCTTTGCAAGTTATTTTCCGATCTCTTTAGAAGAACTATATACCTAAGTGTGTCTCTTTTATTCTGCTATGTCTGTTTTTCAAAGTTCTGATTGTTTCCTATTTGTGGAATATTTGAAAATATCAGTAAATCACACAGATGAATGATGCCTTTGAGGTAGCACTGGGGTGCCATCTAGTGGTTGAGGATAGAATGAAAACCCAGTGGAATTTTTCATCCTACTATTTAGTAAGAAAGTGACAAATAAGATGTATCTCCAACCTCCCTCAATTTTCTTTTTTCCTTTTTACATCACATCGTCTGGATCAAATAAGGATTGGATTGGATGGGCTATGAATAGATATTAATCATATTCTATATTTTTTATGTTTTAAAATGTTTAACTTATCAAGGTTGAAGATCCAAAACTTCTAAAGGCATATTTTGTTCTATTTCCTCAGTGGAGAAAGCGGAGCTGGTAAAACAGAAAGCACCAAGCTGATCCTGAGGTTTCTGTCTGCTATGAGCCAACACTCACTGGAAGTTTCCTGCAGAGACAAGACATCCCATGTGGAGGAGGCGCTGCTGGAGAGCAGGTAAAATAGTTCTGTTAAAGTCGATGATGTATCAGCTTTTCAACAAACTTGAACCGATGGTCTTTCTACTCATTCTCTCGTCAGTCCCATTATGGAGGCCTTTGGAAATGCGAAGACCGTCTACAACAACAATTCCAGTCGCTTTGGGAAGTTTGTCCAGCTGCATTTCAGCCAGAAGGGAAACATTCAAGGGGGGAAAATTGTTGACTGTATCCTTTAAAAGTTCTCAGTTTTAGGTGACCAGCACCCATTTTTGTTTCATTTTATCTTTGTTGAAGCACTTTGTGATTTTTGGTAGGCCTACTCTAAAGGCTTAATACCAAGAAAATAGGGAAGTCAACACCAAGAGCTACATAAAGAAGAAATGTTGTAGAGTTTGGCTTTTAAAATCTCCAACCCCAGTTTTATGTTTTGCATCCATAAAAGCGTAATGCAATAAACACATGAGCTGCTGTTAATTTTTCAACATAACTGCATTACTTTAGATAACCTTTTGGTCTAAACAGGGCATAGTTGTTAGTGTAGATAGTTTTAGTTGAACTGTTTTCAGTGAGTTTGCAGGACCTAACTATTTTTAGGAGGTTGGTTAATCAGCATTGTTATTCATGTATTGAACTGGAGCAAAGGAGGAGTTAAATCCTGTTACGAGTAGTGGTGCCTGGGTACAACCTTTTAATTTCTGATTAAATTATGTTGCTGCTTTAAGTAATATTAGCATACATCATACATTAAATGCTCATTTTGTGTTGTTATACATTGGAAAATTATTGATCAAATGATATTACTCAGAGAACAATGGTAGACAGCAATAGGTATAAATACAACAGAACTATTTATTATTAACAAGTGGGTTACAGGCACTTCAGACTGATCAGATGGTTAGTTTGCATTATGCATTGTGTCCTTGGGCAAGACCTCACCTGCATTGCCTACTGATGGTGGTCAGAGGTGGCGCCAGTGAACGGCAGCCTCCCTTCTGTCAGTGAGCCCCATAGCAGCTGTGGCTACAATGTAGCTTGCTACCATCAGTGTGTGAGTGAATCTGTGGATGACTGAATGTATTGTGAAGTACTTGTAAAAGCGCTATATAAATACAGGCCATTTACCATTTGTGGAATGGTAATATTTTATAAACTTTTGTAACCATGCAGAGCTTTTTGACTGTTTTGTTCCTTAACTGATTCTTTCCTGATGACAGATCTACTAGAAAAGGTAAATCCTTTCATATATTATTAGATAACATAAGTATATTATTTGAAGCCTTGTTTTGAGAGCTAGTCAAAGGTTTTACCAGTACAGGATCTGATGATTAAGAGTATTCCTATTGTAGTTAAAGAGTAAATGAAGAATATATGACAAAAATGTTGTGTCAGGCTGTCAAAATGAGACGCCTCGATCAGGTTTGTGATAGCTTTATTGACAGATCATTTGTTCTCTCCTCAGAATCGAGTTGTTCGGCAGAACCCAGGAGAGCGAAACTACCATATTTTTTATGCCATATTAGCAGGAGCCAACAACCAGCAAAGAGGTGAATCAAGAACAAAATTTGAATAAAAAATGATTTACTCATCTGCATTATACGAAAATTTTTTACTTTGGGTTGTTTCATTGGTGTGCTTGATATTAGCTGCATGTTTTTTGTTAAAAAAAGAAGGTCATATAATTGTTTTATTTGTCTCTGCAGAGGCGTTTGGGTTGACGCATCCTGAGAGCTATCACTACCTGAGACAGTCCAGCTGCATCGCTGACAAGACAATCAACGACAAAGGCACTTTTCAGGATGTTCTGGTATGGAGAAATATATCAGGTTTTGCATGTATTCATTCAGCAAAAATGGAACCTTCAGTCCAAATGGTTGGAAATAGTTAATTATAATAGATCACTGCGAACAAAATTCTTCAATCTTCATCCACTAAAAAGGAAAATTATCATATTCTTTGAATTTTTCTTACTCATAAAAGTAATTGTCTATAAAGCAATAGAATTGTACGAATTATCTTCTAAACAAAATGTTGTATTCTTGTTTATTTTGAGTGCACATATAATCCATATTTGCTCATTTCCCCTCTAGTGTTCCGAGCGTAAGCTTTATTAATAGTTGATTTACTTGCATGAGAGGAAATATAACGACATTTTTATTATAAATTGCGCTGCCTGGGCAAAAATTTTTTGACCTGATGTGAGTGTAAAGCACCCATACACCTCAGAGAAAATGAATCATCTTTATAAGAGGGTCTGCAGATTTGTAGTACTTACTCAAATATAGAGAATAGCTGAAATAGTGATTACACAGAGCCAGCACAGGTTTCAGTCCCGAACAGGAAGAACTGATATGTTTGATAAGATCATCTTCTTCACGTATCTTCTTCACGTTTTTGTTGTTTTTCAGAATGCCATGCAAACAATGCAGTTCACAGAGGAGAACATCAGTGAGATCCTGCGCCTCCTGGCAGGGATCCTCCATGCAGGGAACATCGAGTTTATGACGGCTGGAGGGGCCCAGGTCGCCTCCAAATCAGGTTGGTGCATTTACTGTCACTGTTGACACTTTGTTGACGCATTGGGTTGTCCTTGCAGGAAAAAAAAACATACTAGAACAGTAAAATATATGTAATTATTACTGACTCTGACTGGAAAAACAGGAAGCATTGGTGTGTATTTAATGCTCATTGTCTGAAATGGTTTGCTGATGTTTTATGTCCCTTTCCCCTGCAGCTCTAAATTGGACGTCAGAACTCTTGGGACTGAACTCGGATCAGCTGGCAGAAGTCCTGACCCACCGCTCGATGATCCTGAGGGGGGAGGAGATCTCCACGCCGCTAACAGTTGAACAGGTCAGAGGACTACTAACAAAACACACAGATAATCAAACACTGGTGTGAAATTTAATGCAAAGGAAACTGATCTGTTTTATTTCGACCGATCTCTCCTGCCACAGTCCTTCCTAACATTCCTAAAGTCCAAACATTCATTGCGCTTCCTGCCTCTAACCAACTTATTTATTACCCTAAAACAACCGATATGTTTTATATTTTTGAAAAAAGATTTTTGATATACTTGAGACGTTTTTCTACCTTCCTTTGCTTACTGGTTCTCTGTGTTGTTCCTGAAGGCGGTGGACTCCAGAGACTCCATGGCCATGGCGCTTTATTCACAGTGTTTTAACTGGATCATTCACAAACTGAACAACCGCATCAGGGGCAAGGAGGACTTCAAATCTGTCAGCATCCTGGACATCTTCGGATTTGAGAACTTTGAGGTGCTTGTTTAGGTTGACTTTTTAAGATTTCACCCTATAAGCAGTTAATAAAGTGAACATTTCTGTGCTTTAAAACAATAAGGCAGTCAATTCAGAATAAATGTTTGAATAAGTTTTGGATTTCACAATTTCTGCCTCGTTTGGTTCCCCTCAGGTTAATCGCTTCGAGCAGTTCAACATCAACTATGCAAACGAGAAGCTTCAGGAATATTTTAACAAGCACATTTTTTCTCTGGAGCAACTTGAATACAATAGGTGGGTGGTGATGCTTCCTTTGTTTACCCTCAAAACAAGGTGTAAAAAATATTTTTAGCAATTTGAAAAGAGAAAAAAAGAACTTAAAGCAGTCTTAATTTTTTACCACACCTAAGAAATTAGAGTTGAATGTTCTGAAATGTAATTTTGCAAGTAAATGTGATAGTAGTTGCATATTGGATCCTCAGGGCTTGAGTTTTAACTTTTTTAGATTCCATGACCTTTGGGTGTATTTAGTGGCCCATGGTTCAGATGTGAATCATTTGGATGCTAAAATGTCACAATTTCTGTTAAAAATATTATTTTCTTACCCGACCAAACCAAAATGGCTTTCAGCTTCTCTTCTTTAGAAAGTTAACTCTGTTCATAAATTCTGTCCACCTTTTCTCTCTCTGGACTGGACAACAGCTTTTAGGAATATAAATAATATTCCAGCTACTGATAGAGAAAGTACTGCTGAAAAGTTTTCCCAGGATACCATTTTATCGTTTTATTCATACTCATCATCTCCTGCTTCATTTGGTACCGGGGGCAGTAGTTTCAGCAGAGACTCCAAGACTTTCCTCTCTCCAGACACCTCGTCCAGCTTCTTTTGGAGAAGATATAGTCCCTCCTGCATGTCCTGGCTCTTATTATGGAGGAGAAACGTCTCTACTCCGAGCCTCTCCGGAATAACTGAGCTGCTCACCCTATCTCTAAGGGAGAGCCCAGCCACCCTGCAGACAGAGCTCATTCCAGCTGCTTGTATTCAGGATCTCATTCTTTTGGTCATGATCCAAATTTTATGACCATATGTGAAGGTGGGAACGTAGACGTTAAGCCTGATCTTTTCCCAGTGCATATTTTATTCTGCAAGGGCTGCCCTATGTCTCTCTGGTCTTGTTCATAACCTTTATGGACAAGATTTCTTGGTGCAGCCGAGGGCTGGAGGGGATCTGGTTCAGAGAGCAGTGGATCTCCTCTCTGCTTTTTGCAGATGATGTGATTCTAGTGGCTTCCTCCCCACCAAGGCGTACAGCAGGCCCTGGGAAGCATCCAGGATGAGAACCAGCACCTCCAAGTCTGAGGGCATGGTTCTCGACAGAAAAAGGTGGCTTTTCCTCCTCAGGTTGGAGGAGAGTAGGAGGAGAGTAGGAGGAGAGTTCCTTCCTCCCGTGGAGGAGTTCAAGTATCTTGGGGTCCTGTTTACAGAAGCGAAGTGTTTTGGTTTCTTTTATTCTTAATTAATTTAAAACTGTGAACTATAAAATATCAGCTAAGATTCTATAGCTACATCCTTACATGTACAGTTACCGGTATAAAAAAATACAAAAACAAAAAACAGAAAGCAATCCAAACGATAAAAAAAAAAAAAATTATAAAATGCCTGTGTTTCCACTTCAACAGATACAAAGTGGTGACAGTTCTGATATATCTGCTCACTCAGGTTAAAAAGGAGAGTATTAGCTTTGCACAGAGACCAGGCTTTTGAATTTGCTCCTAATGATTGAAGAACAGCACCTAATTATTGTTTTACAGGCTCCTTAAAACATTTTGAAGGGAAGCTGGTATATTTAGTTGGTGATAAACAGATTATCAATACGAGTTGTGTATCAGGTGATAAATTGGTTGTTTTATTGCTCCTTTTGTGTTTTAATAATTTAACGAACATGCAGATAGATTTATTAAAGTTTTACAAAGGCATAAATTAGCAAATAACAACATGTGAGGCTCCAATTCCACAGCTTTGTATGGATATTAAAAAAAGAATATGTATTCTTGATTTTAAAAAAATCTGCTTCCACAAAACCTCTTAAATTTGTACAGATTTAAACAAAAGGATGGAAGCAAAGCTGTAATGTGGCTCCATTTTACTCTAGTCTTTGAGAGAGATAAAGTAAACGTGCACAAGTAAAAAAAAAAAAAATTCAAACGTGTGTTTGTCTGGACGACATGGACTCTGATCTACTCTACATCATCTTTTTCTTTTGACAAAAGCATTTTTTTACGTGGAGGAAATGTGCAAATGTGGCAGAAAATAGATTTTTTTTTTTTAGATATAATTTTTTTCCTTCATCTATAAAGAGCATTTTAAGATTTAAAATGTGAAAAAAAGATCTGATCCTTTAGCAACTACTGTAGGTGTAACATCAGAGCGTTCTAAAGGTTGACCCTCCAAGTCCTTTCAGTTCTTCTACAAAACGTCATCCTTTACCAACTGATGAGCTCAGCTACTCAAACACCTTCACCTTTAGTTATATCTTCATTGTTTTGTTGCAAACAAAATTTAATTTCTCTGCTTTTTGCTGCAGAGAGGGGCTGGTCTGGGTCGATATCAACTGGATGGACAACGGAGAGTGTCTGGATTTGATTGAGAAGGTATTCGAATGATTTTTTACTCTAACCAGACACATCCCTCATTTAGAGTAAGAGGTTCTATTTTAAGGCTGATGAGGCTTATTTTTAAACTGCATAAATAAATATTATTCTGCACCAAAATGGGAAACACAAGGAGTGAATATCCAATTAAAGGTGATGGTAGATGTAGGATTGTTGGAGGTGCAGTCACATTATGGCCTACCAATTTGACCCTTTTAAGCCATAGATGAGTTTTTGAGACTTCTGCATTATCAGTGTGATTTTTTTTAATCCAGACACATGTAGTGAACACAAAATGTGTAAAAGACTATATAGAAATCCTTAATGTATCAAAATTGATGAAAATATATGCTATAATTCCAGTCCAGGCTTTAAAGAGTTAAGCTTTTCAGATTCTATCTATAAACCGTTTTTATGTTATTTGCTGTAAAGTTTTTAAAACCATAGAAAGTCAGATGTCAGATGAGGAAATCTTGCATGTTCTTTTAGAAACTGGGCCTCCTGGCACTGATGAATGAGGAGAGCCATTTTCCCAAAGCCACAGACGACACCCTACTGGAGAAACTCCACAGCCAGCACTCGGTTGGTTTTTAGCATGTTTTTTTTTTTTTTTTTTTTTTTTTTGCATGTCTTTTTGTTTTGTTTTGTTTTTTGGTGAGTTTATCTATATTGATGAAATTTAAAGAAATGCAACTAGTAAAGGATTAATCCACATATTTAATATCAAGTTTTGTCAAAAGTCTATTTCGTCCTGCTGGAGACTTATCGAATAGAATAGAATACAAGTACAAATCAACTAAATGTGGTTTGCATCTATCCAGAAGTGCTATACAGGATATAAATATTATTACAGGTGTATGTAAAAGCAAAAAGTAATAGTTAGGGACTGAAAAAGTTGTGTATAAATATGAATATGGGAGCTACATGCACAGATTATACAGAATATACAGGAATGTTAGGAAAAGGATTATATATGTTTTAGCAGGTTTAAAATACAAGATAAATAATGGCAGATAAAATTTACAGATTATATACAGATAGTATACAGATTGTGAATCAGGCTTTTCCATAAAATAGCATCAAGTCAGCTATTTAAAATGCCACTAGATAAAATGATCTGTTTACCTAAAATGAGGACAGCTGTAAATGGGATTCGGTGCCCAACCTCAATTGTATGCCGCATCTACACAAGCTAAACCCAGACTAAAAGCTTGCACACCAACCCTCATATTTTGCACATATTAGTAACAATGCTTTATACAAAGTTGGGGGAGACAAAGGGACAGTTTATACATCATTTAATATGTCTTTATCAGCCTCTTAGTTTTTTTCCCCCCAGATATTCAATAAGATTTATATCTGATGAACACACATTCATGGATCATGGGTGTTTTTTTGGGCCAGTAGCTGGCTGAACGCCCCCAATGACGACCAATTTTCAGTTGTTTGGCAGAGATTAGCAGATATGCATTTAGGATGTGCTGTTAGCTCAGAGAATGTATAATGCCATGTACACTGAATAGATCCTCAGCACTGTCAGATGCATAACAGATCCTCAGTTGCACATATTTCCAGTTAACGTCCCAGGAGTTGGAAAAAAACTCCCTATGTTTAATTTTATAATATTGGAAATCATGGACTTATCTCCCAAACTCAGGTTGGTATGTAGCTCAAATCTAAAGAGACAGTTCTCTAACATTAAGATTTTTGTAAACTCCCGCTTTATCTTACTCGCTATGTGAGATATGAAGGTAAACAAAATTCTCTCATCCACTTTTGTTTCTCAGTGAAATAAATTTAAGAATTTATCCTACTTGGCTAGTATGTTCCCATTTTAAGGGCTCAGAGCTTAGTTTCTATTTTTAATCTCATGTTCTGCAACAGATCAGTATTGATGTTAGATGTATCTAAGAGGGAAATTGAAAACAATTTCAGTAATCAAACATTGAATAGAGAAAAAATTGGGGTGAAATATGAAAAGATAAGCTCTGATTTAAGCACTTTATTTTATAAGGATCAGACTGGATTTCTTATCAGTCTTGTTTAACTATTGGAAAGTTATCGCTGCAGAAAAGTAAATGACCTTTTCCTTTCTTCTGCAGAAAAATTCATTTTATGTGAAACCTCGTGTTGCTGTGCACTACTTTGGAGTCCGACACTATGCAGGAGAGGTAACTCACTCACATCTTTAAAAAGTTCAGCCCACTCAGCTGTAGAGGCCACTCTGCTCTCCTTTGCTTAAGTTAAACTCTCCTGCCCCCTTGTGGCTGTTTCCAGGTGGTATACGACGTAAGGGGCATGCTGGAGAAGAACAGGGATACTTTCAGGGATGACATCCTCAACATGCTGAGAGAGAGCAGGTTGGCTATTGAAGCGTTTTTACTGTTGTTTTTTATGTACTTTTTAAAACCTAAAATTATGGTTTTGCGAAATACTTCAACTTAAGTAAATATTTCTTCAAAATTACAGCATAGCTTTTTAAAACCTATCCCATTGTCTGCCAGGTTGGACTTTGTCTACGATCTATTTGAGCATGTATTGAGCCGCAACAAGCAGGACACTCTGAGGTGCAGCACCAAGCACAGACGGCCAACTGTCAGCTCCCAGTTTAAGGCAAGTCACCAACAAACAACATTCTATCTGCTGCAACATGGATGGATGGATGGATGGATGGATGGATGGATGGATGGATGGATGGATGGATGGATGGATGGATGGATGGATGGATGGATGGATGGATGGATGGATGGACTGATACTTTGATTTCACCTAGAAAGGAACTGAGAATGATAATCGGTCCTCCTAGATGGATAACTTGATGATAAATGGCTGAATAAGTTAACAGATAGAAAATAAAATTCATGTTTTTGAGACAAATTAAATCTAGTGAAAATGAAATTGACTTAATACATTTGGGACTTTTTAAGAAACATATACACATTTATTCAATTTCAAACACTATTACTGTCTTGAGCATGTATGGATTATTATGAAACTAGCCTCAAAGCAGGAAGAACAAAAAGAAATCCAACATTGAACAAGAGATTTATGGTCACAGCTGATGTCTTTACATACAATAAGTGTGTTTTATGGCTCTTTGTGGTGGATACATGTTTGGAATTCTGTAGAATAATGAATATGACCCACAAAAATCCTGAAATATTTAGTGTAGTCAATTTTATACTTATTTATTTTGAAAAACTGATTTAAAGGTCTGTCTATGTGTGCTATATTCGATGGAATGGGGGATTTATTATAGAGTCAGCTTAGACCTCATCACTCATGGCAAAACCAAATTATAGTTTAATTATTGATGAAGAGTCTGCAAAATCTCTAAAAGTGGACCTTTATTTCAGAATTTACAGTAGATCCCTACCACCCAACAGTTTTCAATTCTATTCAGTTTATTTATATAGCGCCAATTCCAAACACAAATCATCTCAAGGCATTTTACAGAGACAATTCAAGCAGGTCATACAGTCAGATTCGTTAAAAGTTCTCTAAGGAAAAGCAGCTGATTGCATCGACTCATTGACTCGAAGGCAATCCTCACAGTTTTGTGCTGGACAAAACATATGTCAGGGTAAAACATGTGGCATTAGCCTAATTTATAAATCTGTTAAATGTTTCAATTTTAGTTGTTTCTTCTTATCTTTTTCTTTGAATTGCATTACTAACATTTTTAATTAGCACTGTTTAATACCCAAAGAAAAAACATGAAAAAGTACAAAATGAAATGTATAAACCAAAGCTTTAACTGTTGAAAACAATATAAAGACGGTGTTAGCCAGGGTTTCACAACTACTTATCTCATAAAGGGAATAAGACATGATTTTATATCTCCTTAGGACTCTTTGCACTCTCTGATGGCCACCCTCAGCACATCCAACCCATACTTCATACGATGCATCAAACCAAATACACAAAAGGTGAGTTCCGTGTGTCTCATGTGATTGTGCACATATGATTCAGTCCCACACAGTCTCATATTTATTGTCTAAGGTAAATATTTGTGGGTCAGGACATGACATGCTGTGTGAACCGGGTGTCATTTATTCATTAAACACTCCTTTCCCTGAGCAAAGTTGACAGAAAAAAAATGCTGTCTGGCTCCTCTGGTGACCTTAAGCCCCAGGTTGCTTAGCAACAGGCTCACGTAGTGAAGCATGCATGGCTTTAGTAGAACACTGTTTTTTAAAATAGGAAATACTACCTGCACTGTGGCTGCTGTTCCTGCCAAAGGAGGTTGCTTGAAGTATAAAATTGGTTGGGACCAACATTAATGAAAAGTGACTGACAAACTTAAGACAGATAATAAAAACAAAAAGTAATTTACAGGATAGCAAATGGTTACCCTGAGTAACACTTGTGGACAAACTAAACTAACATGTGCAACAGATGAGGATTTACAGATATCGAAGATCCTGGTGGCTTATCGAATTTATGAATGAATGAAGGGCTGAGCAAAGAAAGGAATGATCTATCCATACCAACCAGGTTAGCCTACGTGTTTCTACTTTTCCTATCCTTCCTCCAGTTTTAAGCTACAAACTCATCTTTGTTCTTTGTTCATCTCTGAGCTTCTATTCATTCTTTTGCGCTTTATTTTTCCGGTTTTAGGTTCATTTTTCATTGGATGCTAATTTTTCTAAATTTTTACTATTAAGTGGTCAATATGTTGAAGATTCATTTCTTTTTATTTTCTGTTTTAAATAACTGTTACAACTGTTCATTTTTACATTTGTTATGCCCAACTTTCACTTTAAAATGTGCTCAGAGTCATTAGTACACAGAGCTCTCTGAAAATTCAAACATGTCTGTCAAAGCTCAACTTTCATTTGAGCTTAAGTAGACGGATGAATAAGGAAGTGGAAAAAATAAGGTTATATGTGGTGTCATCAGAGACACGCCCAAACGTCTCCTCTGGCTTTAGTCGTCGAAGGACTACTAGGCACTCCAAATGCAATAAATCTCTTATATAAAAAAATGTAGCATTTGCATGCAAATTATTCATAAAAAGTTTAAAAAATAAGATGACAAACTGTAAAAAACTATAAAAAATTGTTATCCATAATGATGTACTCATCACCATAGTAAAGAATGTTTTTTTTGTTTTGTTTTAGTTTTAATGTACGCTATATATAGGTTTTACCTAATTTAAACAATACTCCCTTTCAAAATATCATTAGCAATTACACTCTGTTAGTAATATAATTAAGTTATTATTAATAACTTTTTTTATGTACCTAACCATTAATCCCTTATATTAAAATCTATCATTTGCATCCAAATAATTCATAAAACTATTAAAAAATAAGTTAAAAAATGTCAAAAATAAAAAAAACTATTAAAATCTGTAAAAATTTAAAACCCCTTTACTTTGTAATTTTTTTTTATAAACAAATAAAAAAAAAAACATACAAGCAAAATAGTTCACCAACCAGCCGTACTCTTTCTGCTAAGTATATGATCCAGCCTGTTTAATGAAGTGAGGCCCAGCCATCTGAACCCTTCTCCTCAGATTGGATGGTACTGTAGGCAGGGCTGAATGATGACCTCTGATTGGGGCTTAATGTAGTGAGGGACAGAGCTCCAGATCATTTTTACTTGCTCCTTAGTGGGAAACACAGGGGTCAGAGCAACACGGCAACGTGACCCGCAATGTCCCTGGAGAGGCGTCCCTGCCATCTGCCTGTTTGATTCAAACCAGACTAATCATAATAAAAGCAGCATTAACTAAAGGTTAAATGTTGTGACTTAAATCTTTGGGAAAAAAAGCACAAATAATGGTCTTTAATTTTTCACTTCAAATATCAAACATATGAAAATATTTTCCTTTCTTACCAAAGTTGACTTCACACATCTCCCAGTGTTGTCCATTTCAGGCCTGTGTGGGCTCCTTTTCTCCATAATAATACAAATACAATTTGAAATTGTATCGTCCATAGCCTTTCTCCCTGTGGGGGTGTGATCTATCAAAACATTTTTTCTTTTCTATCAAAATAATCTAATGTAGTGAAAATTATATAAAATCTAATATTTCTCCATAGTTTCTGGTTGCTATTTTGGGTGCGCTTGTTTTCAGCTCTGTGTTAATCACAATAAACCCAACATTTTTCAGTCATCCTATAGGTCGCTTTGAGCAAAACAAACTTCTCTCCCAATTTGTTTTGCACATTCCCACCTCTGTTCTCACCTGCCTTGCATTCTGACACAAATTTCAGAAAATTGTTGACATGAGATGGCAGTCAGTGGAAAGAGTTTTAAAAAGATGTGCAGGAATTAAGGTCAAAACTCATGCTTGGCTACATTAAGACATGTGTAAGGTGGACGAACCACTTGATTGATGGGTATCAGCTCTCACAGTATGTTACACACTTGCTTTTAAGATAATGTGTTTTTATGGTCCAATAATTTGCACATTTGGACACACATTTGGCCAAAAAGACCTACGGTATCAGCATTCGTTTTACCTAATGATGTAAAATTTTGCACATGTTACACACTGATTCCATTTTGATTATGTCCATCTCTGTGCACAAGCTAAAATCAGGCAATGCTTCAATAGAAAAACAAAGGTCATTTTCCCTCTATATTTTAAAAGCATTTCTATCATATTATACAATTTTGCTTCAAGCTAAAAATGCTGCAACATAAACAGACCTTGATCCACATGATGGTGGGATTCTCTGTTTAATATTGTTGCGGAAACTTTACGTTAGAAGGGCTTCGTCCATTTTGAGCGCTTCATCAGACCAGTCAGCTGCACTCAGTAGACATGTTTGAATGTAAACAGCCATCCCTTTCTCACATTCAAATACACATAACAGACCCTACAAGTGGCCGGCACAAATTAGCCTCAGCAGGAGATGCGTCGCCATGCCAACCACGGCCCTCCCTCCCCACGTTAAAAAAGGGGGAGTGGATTTCTGGGTTTGAAAGGCTTTGTTTGACTCTGTGGCGGATGAATGTGTGTGAACAAGTCAGTGTGCTGGAGGAGCAGAAGCACGGATAAACTGCAGCTTGGTGAAGCTTATCCCACTGCAGTACAAAGCAAGAAGCTAAGATGCAAGGTGAGACCTGATGCATGATTCAGATCTGAGGAAGAATTTCTGAGAGGGATTGCTCTGCATGTGATTTAAATTCAAAGCTGGGATATAAAGTGATATGAGGCTGTTTCATGACCAGTGCACTATTATTACTTGAAAAGGGGGCTGTTTTGTGGTTCTGTTGGGCTATAAAAAGGAAAATGGTTGTTTTTAGATGCCTAACGCATATTCGACAACTTCTAGACTTACCTGTTCAGGTGTTAACTTAGACTTACATGAGATAAAGAAAGTACTCTTTAAAACTATCTTTGTGATTGTTATGAGGCCTGGGGGCCAAGAGACGAATGAATCTGAATATAGAATGAGCCGACTCGGTGACAGGGTAATGAGGAGAAAGTAGCAATCTGAACTGTTTCTAATGAGATTGCTTATCCTTGGGTATATTTCCTACACAATCAATCTGTGATGCCATGGTGGGATATAATTACCTCACTGTTTTATCATCCAAAAGGGTCGGCTATTTTTTGATCCTTTGTTTAGCAAAACAAAATAAAAAATGCATTTTGTAGCTCCAGACCCTAATTCTGTTAGAATTCCAGCAGTTTCCCTGTAGACCTTAGAAAATGTATTTAATATCTTAAACATTAGATACTCTATGTGGCATCATTCTGTTTCAAAATAAAATTAATTGAAGGGATGGCTGAGAGTAGAAAAAACATAATTCTGCTGTCAAACAGTTAATGTTCCTGCTGAGTGAAAAAGTGGAATTCCGCATGTTTGGCAAAATTTGGAACAGAAAATAATGCATTAAAGAACATTTGGGTTTCTCACCCTCTTTGTATTATTTTTATCTAAGTGTATACATACGTGTATATGTACGTGTATATAACATATACAAATAAATATGTATATATTCATTAGGTTTTATTACTTTTAAGTAGTTTCCAAATTGATTTTTAAAAATAAAACAATAATAGAAATGTAGGTATATTAAAAAAACTTTTATAACAGCCCATAATAACATACACCGTTAGGGACAGTTGCAACAGAAACAAGTCCTTGCCAAATATTTCTAGGGGCTTACCGGTAATTATAAGTCCTTGCATTCAAGTAATATTAGCATCAGGATATTTAAATCTTGTGTTTTTATTGCTAATGCTGTGACCTCTGCAGGTTAGTTTATCTTCCTGCTTTTACGAAATCTACTCCTTCTACAATCTGATACAGGCTTAAATCCCACTGTGGCTGAGATTTATTGGGAATTTATCTGCACTTAAAGGCGCAGTGATATTCAGGTGTCCAACCCCCCCAACTGAGCTGTGAGTGATAATCCTCGCTGAGACAAAACAAGCAGGTGTCTCACAAACAGAACCTTATGAAATGTAAAGGCTTCTAGATCTCTTGGTTAAAGCATTAATGTTAACTTCTGACAAGAGAGAAAAAGCATCTCTGATACCTAAAGACTAAACTTATAGAGCTACATATTCATAACACAGACTGTACTTTTCAACTGCAGTTTAATATTGGAATAACTTTAACTCTTTCAATGAATTAGCTTTGAATGGTCATTTCATTATAATGTCTTATATGTCTTAAGCGGATGAGAAGCAAATTTCCAGATGGAATGATTTCCTAATGTCAGGAGAGACTTTCCTCTTCTGGCCCACTTATTTGTAACTGCAGTCTCATAACAGAAAACTAAATGATTGCAATAACATTTGCATCATCAGCAGCATGTAGAAGGTATTATGAGCTCTAACGTACATTAATTGAACCTGATGGTAAGCAATAAAAAGAGTAATTTTGGTGATTACTTATTCTAAATATATTCCCCTGAGACAGGTTGAACTTTGCTTATCTGAGAACTGGAACGGAAAGGTCACTCTTGGAAATGTCAGGAGATAATTAGATTTTTTTTTTACATACCAACAGTACATAGGGCTGCATCAAACTCATCAGTGATTTATTTGAAGCTTTGATGAGTGGACAGATGCTTTTTCCAATCCAATACAGGAAACCTCTCTCCTCTCTCAGCTCTCCTCGCTGTCTTATCTGAGCTGAATGATGGACAGCTAATCCTGAGTTTAGTTGTTCTGCCATGTTTGCTGGTTTTCACCTCTGCTGCCTCCCAGCCCCCTCAAAAGCGAACCACCACTCCCCCGTTTGTTTGCCTCTGAATGCACACATCACAGATTTTTTTCTTTAGTTTTCGTTTTTTTCTTTTTCTGGAAAGTCAGGCTGAGACATCTATTGTTGTCATCCGTCAGAAGAAGCCTGTCTAACCAAGCCTGACTCTCAGCATGAGAGAGTATAAAAGTTGTTTTTATCTTATTTCCCTGAACTAAACAAATACACTAAATGACTAATCGATGTTCTAACAAAATATAACATCATTACATTTCTAAGAGATTAAGAGCCATGTCTAAAAATCAGCTGATTTTTTATTAGTAGGCTAAATTCTAGAAAATGCATGAAAATATACAATTTTCTGAATATATTTGTTGCAGAGGGGCACCTAAAAGTCTTTTGAACAGCTATGGAATGGTGACTTGGTCTCTTTAGAAATTAGATTAGCTTGATTAATAATTTCAAACTTAATTTGGGGTAAAATAGTTTGCTGAAAAAAACCTTCATTATCTAATCTATAACTTTTCAAAGGTTCCATCCAACTCTGTCCGTCTTCCTTCCTGCTTTTAGTTTTTCAGGTTTCATATTTATAGGCCGAGCACTAAAGAGATAAAGGAGAACTTTAGATATGTGGGTCTGTAAAGTATGAGATTTTATTATTAACAGGGGAAGGACCCCAGTTGTTGACATCACAGAAGCGTCTGAAACCAGAGCAGAAAGAGGAAACGTCAAAAATGAAAACAGAGCCAGGAGGCAAAGGGGCAGCTTCCTGACACCGCTCGCCTTTGTACGGCTGCATCGTCGTCCGTATGCGAATGCTAATCATGCTAATGAGATGTCTTCTGTGGCTGGTAGCATTAAAGGCCTCCTTTCAATCACGCTGGGAAGATCGGGTGAATTGGCCTCCCTTCTTCCAGACAACTGGGCCATCAGTTTGGCTATCAGGAGAGACCTGCTGAATAAAGGAGGCATTACCATTGGGAATGAAAGCTCCCACTTATATTGAACTAACCCCACCCACCCCCACTGACGCCCACTGAGGTTACAGGGTGACCCACCACCCCCCCAGGATAAGGCTTCAACTGAATGGCATCAAGTGTGTTGGTATTGCTGCCCCATTATTTTTCACTAAAGATCTTTAAAGTCTCTCCAGTGACAGATGTGAAGAAGTTTCAACATTAAGCAGCAGATGAAGGTTTTTAACAGCTGGTTTCCATACATGTTCATCTCCATCTCCTCTCAGCATCACTCCCTAAAATCACCCGGGGCAACACAATGTTTACTGTCAAACCAGACCTTAATATCATCCCATACAATCACGGAAATAACATCAGACTCTGTTGTGTAAAGGTCAAACAGTCGCAAACATTATAGATCTGCCTGTAATGCTGTAATAGTGTTACAAGGGGCAGAGCAACATCAATATGCATATCCTGTTGTTAGATAATAATGCATGATAGATTATATCACTGTAAAAAGGTCACACAGTAGGGGGGTTTGCTTATGTTAGCTGCTCTCTGGAATGATATTTACTCTCTTTGTCACACAGATGCCTGAGCAATTTGACCAGACGGTGGTTCTGAACCAGCTCAGGTACTCCGGCATGCTGGAAACGGTCAAGATCAGACGCAGCGGTTTCCCGGTCCGCAGATCGTTTCAGGACTTCTGCTCCAGGTTTGTACCATTTTCACTGATGTGTAGATGACGGGGTTCATATGCTCAGACTGAGAAATATGTCCATGTGTGATCAGCTTCTGGAGCAGCAGGGAAGCTTTGCATTAAAACCACACAGGTAATTTCAGGGACCTGACTTTCTGGAAGCAGATGCAGCTGTTGGTATTTTTTTTAAGCTTTTAAACTTGCTAGAGTGTGGTTTCTTGAGGGGATCATGCCAGAAACCTTACCCTGGCATGATTGTAGCTTTATCCGGATCCTGGAGGACCTTACCTGCAGGATCCGTATAAAGCCAAGCCAGTGTACCAAAAGCTCCACTCTTCTCACGTTCTTGCACTGCAGGATGTCTGGGATGTGCACCCTCAGGAATTTCATTCTGCGACCACCTCTACAGCTGAGCTGTTGATGAGCAGTGGAGCCTGGTTAGGCCCGTTCTTCCTGAAGTCGATGATCTCCTTCGTCTTTAGGCTGTTGTCTTTGCAGCAGTCCACCAGTTGCTCCACCTCCTCTCTGTGGTCCCGGTCGTTGTCGTCTCTGATGAGGCCCACCACCGTAGTGTCGTCTGCAAATTTCATAATGTGATTGTTGATGAACCTGGGGACGCAGTCGTGTGTCATCAGAGTGAACAGCAGGGGGCTCAGGACGCAGCCCTGTGGGGAGCCTGTGCTTAGGGTGATGAAATCAGAGATGTTCTGTCCAACCTGGATTGACTTAGGTCTGTTTGTGAGGAAGTCTAGCAGCCAATTGTAGAGGGGTGTTTTGAAGCCCAGCTGTTTCAGTTTGCCCATCAGATGCTGTAGGTTGAGGGTGTTGAAAGCTGAACTGAAGTCCAGGAACAGCATCCGCACTTGGGTGTTCTTGTCCTCCAGGTGTGCCAGGCTCAGATGGAGAGCAGAGGAGATGGCGCCTTCAGTTGGGCCATTCTGACAGTAGGCGAACTGGAACGGGTCGAATGTTGGAGAGAATCTGGAGCCGATGTGTTCTTTAACCAGCCTTTCGAAGCACCTCATCATGATGGGAGTCAGTGCAACAGGCCGGTAATCATTGAGTGAGGGGACCTGAGGCTTCTTTGGGACTCAAATGACGGTGGCAGACCTAAAGCATGCTGGCATTGAAGTCGAACAAGGTGTTAAAATTGTCTGTGAGGACACCAGCCAGCTGACCTGTACACTCCTTGAACACCCGCCCAGATGTTTCATCAGGGCCTGGGGCTGTTCTTAGGTTGACTCTCCTCCAAGTCTTCCACACATCAGCTCTGTCAAGGTAGAGTGCCTCCTCTCCCTGGTGTGGATGTGAATTGTGAAATTGAAGTTGTGGAGAGGGTTGGTGTTAGGGTTGTTAAGTTTCCCCAACCTTAACTTATAAAAAATGGAAACAAAGACAGTGTAAGATTTTTCCTGAAATGCTTTGCAAAGGGGAGTCCAGATTTGAACTATCAATCTCTGCATCTCCGCTTGGCTCAACACTTGCCAGGCTTTTTATTGAGCAGTCAAAACATTACAACAGCAGGCGTTAGTTTTGATTACACAGTCTCTTAGACATAGCATGAACTTTTAAGATAGGGAACTTGCCTGGTTTCAGTATACACTTTACACAAGGTGTCGGGGTTATGACTTCACTTCTCTGCTTCTCAAATGAAAAAACAGGAAAGCATTCTTGCAAAACATTTCACTGTCTTATGACCTTCATACACTATTTCCAATGATGAGAGTAACATATAGAAAAACAAATGATTGAGAGCAATATAAAACATATAAATGAATAAAATGATAAAAACAACAGAAATCATAATAACTCCAACAATTGGGTCTTTTAAAAATATGCGAAAATCCTCCACTATACCTTTAAGTATTAGGCTGTATTTAAAATAGTTTCATATTTCTGAAAAAAATGTGCGGTAACTTGTAAAGTAATTAAGTTTCAAGGCTCCATTTAGCAGGAGCAGCATGAATAAAATGGTTTATATGAGACTGCAACAACTGTTAGATTTTATGTTGTCCAATAATGCTGAATGTTACTAATTTGAATCATACCTAGATTTATCTTTTACATTCAATGGAGATTTTCGACTTATTTCAACCTCGAAAATAAAACTATTAATATGTATTTTTATAGGGCTGTAATAAATACAGTAGTAAGGTGTTTAGCGAAGAGGAAGAAAGATTTGAAGAAAAGAAGTTTGCTGATGTTTAGACCAACCTTTTGCTCTTTTTTCAGGTACAAGGTGCTGATGAGGGGCATTCTGCTGCCAGATGACCACAGGGGGCGCTGCAAGCAGCTGCTGCATCTCTATGACAGCAGCAGCAAAGATTGGCAGCTCGGAAAGACCAAAGTAAGGCCCAAACAGTTTCTGTTTTTTAACCTTTTTCTTCTCACCTGCAGTAAAAGTGATTGTAAAATTTGTTCTTTTTAGTATTGCTTTGACCTTAAACTGGAATCAAACTAAAGCTTTATACTTGTAAAATAAATCTAGCATTATTGATAAAATACTGAAATGAGAACGGAATGGTTCAGTGGACAAAACAACTCGCTAAGGAATGGTTTTTGTCGCCTTGGGCCTATTAAAATTGTGCTGAGGCTTAGAAACTAATTTTGTCACATATATCTCTGCAGATTTACTTTCTCTGTCTATCAACAGTGAGCTCCATCCCTTTTGTCAGTATAATCGACTCTTGCCTGTCAAACCTTGAGTCCCTGAATGCTCCACCATCCTTTTTGCCTCAGGCTAACCCCAGTAGAAACGTATTCTCCCTGCTAGAATACAGTGTGATTGGATCCGGCCCCCCCCCCCCCCCCCCCCCCCCCCCCCCCCACCACACAGATGCCAATCCATTCGAGCTTCTCCCTGCTTCCCTCAAGGCTTAATTTGGCTTCATATGTCCTACAAATTCAGCTCACAGAAACCATTCAGAGCCTCTTGCTCTGTGACTGCACCGTGTATGAATTACCGAGGTCATGCTCACCTGAGGCTTGGAATGTGAGGGTTATTGGACTTCACTCCTCAGTCACAATCTGCTACCACCACACCGGATCAGGAAGAAAAGCTGCTGCCAGCATGTGTGTGTGTGTGTGGGCTTGAGTCATTTTGTGTCGGAGTGTGTGCGTGAATGCCTTGGGAAAGTGACAGATGGGGGACACGGACCACCGATCCCAGCATGACGGTGATGACAGCAGAGGGCGAAACCTGTGTGTGTGTTTGAATGTCTCCTTTTCAGAACAGAAACTAGAGCAACTGAAATAAAACCATGGTCACTATACAAAAAAATAAGAGGGAAATTGAATTACGAAGTCCATCCATTACCATGACCATTAATAAAAGAACTGGCATAAAGACAGTTCTGAGATTTTTTTTTTTTTGTGCAAACGTTGTAGAAAAATCTTTAGTGTCGAGCTAGAAAAGTGACCTCTGTCATGTTCAAACATTTCTAATGTCAGATACATAATGACTCAGTGATGATGTGCTACAGTATAACTACCTCATACAGCTGTGAACCACTGGGTTTACTGTAATGCATATAGGTTCGGTCTGCTTGGATTTTTAGGGTTCACGTATAGAGTATTTAATAAGATAATGATATAAATACCTGTAATAAAAAGAGAAGTGACAGAAAGGTTTCATAGTGTTTGGGATGAACAGCAGAGTTCAAATGTAATGGGACCTGACATCTGTGTCACTGAACCACAGAGTCGTTTCTGCCACCTCCCTGCAAACTGTTAAATCAACCCAACGTCCCTCTGAGGGTTTTGTCCACTTTGTCGCATGGAGAGATTTACGTGAGACTCCTTTCAGTCGGCACATGTCCCGATTGTTGCTTCAGAGTTCCGCTTTGTGCTTTTAGAAAGTAAAACTTGATTTGCTGGACGGGATGCGTCTCCACGTGGCTCTGCTCAGCTTCTGTTCCCTCTGGGGGCCTGACCCCCCACACAGCCAGAATCAAAAGGCTTCGCAAAGCTTTTTGTTGTGCTAATTAACACAGTAATGACTGAAAGGGATTTGCTGTTCAGTGTGTTGTTAACGGATTCAGAAAGCCTGTGTTATGTAAGTTGCATTTGGATAAATTAGCTTCATTTCTCCTTAAATAATCCTTTCCAGAATGATATTTGGTTTGTCCTTCTCTACTTCTCTAGCATGTAGAGTTTAAAATGGTTAAAATATGATTCATTTTCTAGTCAAAAATAAGCAGAGTTCTGCAGACTTACCAAAATGAAAAGAGGGTGAGAAATGTTGATGTGCAAATTAACCAAATAGCAAATGTTTCCCCCAGATCTACAACTCTGCTGTGGACCTTTGCTTCATCTAGGAAGCATGTGGAGTCTGGTTATTATCCATCTACATACATAGTTACTGCGGTTTCTATAAACACCTCAGGTTGATTGGACACTTGAATAAATCTGAGTACAGTTGTCTGTGTGGAGCTGTGATTGGCCGAGGTCAAAGCTACAGCCCGTTCCCTTTACAGACCGGTGGCTCACCAGTGGCAGGCTCCTTGATTGTTTGGAGCATGTTTTCAGTCTGCCCTGACACTTTAAGGTGTTCTTGCTCTGGCAGCTGCATCTGATCACAGATGACGGCTTTCCTCATAGTCAAAAAGCTCTGGTGTCTAATGCAGGCGTTAATTAACCTGCATGTGAGCCCCCTACAGGCAAAGTTACTTATCAGAAAGTCTGGTGTGTGCCTCTATGGTTAGGCCTCAACAATAGACCCATTTACACTACCCTCTGAAAACCGATCCGTGCCGAGCTTGAATCAGTTAACCCTGCAAGGCTTGGTTCCTTACAACTATTTATACATCAGTACTAGTACAATTTCTCTCCTCCTAGTGATGGTCTACAGTACTACTGCTCTCTAGAGGTAAACATGAAAATCAACAAGGCGGTTCCGGTAACATTCATGAAGTTTGCAGTCAGGCAAAGAGGGAAGCTCTTGGTGAATCTACTTGACAGAGTCAGCTTTTGGGAAGTGGATATGACAAACGATCGTCTAATCAGGGCTTACAAAACGAGCCAGAACTGAACCGCGCTGAGCCCTACTGATGAACTAGTAAGATGTTAGCGTGGTTTGGTTGTGTCTGGCATGGTCCGGTTCAGTCATGCGTACTATGTACATTTACCATCTCGGTTACCGTGCTCAGACTGATCTCAGCACAGTTTAAAAAGGGTAATGCAAATGGGGCTAATGTCATTCATCTAACAGCACACACACATACATTCCCATCTTGTTATATGTAGCGAGGACCATGTGTCTACTGCCTTTGATTTTCAATCGTTTTTAACCCTAGCATTTACAATTACCGTAAACCTAAACACTACCAGTGCAAACCAAACCCTAATCAGAACACACCTTACACCTAAATGTTAGCGAAAAGGGAGGCAAGAACCAGCAAAACTTAAATCTGTGGCACAAACAAGCCTTAGTTTGATGGTGAACTTGGAAAAATGTTCCTCACGCTATTGACAAACAGGAACACACACAAACACAGCTTTCTTCTCAACTAGAGGGGTATGTCCTTTTACCTCCCAGCCCTGTGATATTCCCCCACAATATGAGCCCCACAGAGACCGTGTCCCTTATCTCATTTTCCTCCCTCCCTAATCGGATTAACCCCAGCATCCCCAGTGGACCCAGTTTCTCTATCAACAGGCGACAGCATCCAGCAGCTCTAAGTGCCTGTAGCATTGGCCTTTATGCACAGAGCAACAGTGAATCTGTAGACTTTAGTCACTCTGACAAAAGGAGGCGAGGTTCTGGATTCGGTTCATGTGGAAGACTTTGTTCAGCTCCCTGTTTTTTTTTTTTTTTTGTTTGTTTTTTTTTTTTTCTTGTTTTGGAAGGGATTTTCTGAATTCTGCTGTATTTTCAATTGTTTATTCAGTAATTGTGTCTCACTGAGGTGGGACTTCCCTTTTTTGATAATATGCATCCTGCAGTTTAACTTTTTACACTGCAAAGACCGAGTAATGGAAACATTTAAGATCTGTGAATTTGCACTTCTTTAAGCACGTAAATAAAAAGACCTGTCTTTGCTCTTGAAATAAAACAATAGATATTATTCACTTGAAATAAGATAGCTGTGTTATTTTTTCTTATTTTCATTATAAATAATCTTATTCAGTTGGCAGAATGTCAAACATACCTGCTCAAATCAGGTAAAGTACAATAATTTCAAGAAAAAAATACTTTTATTGCAGTTTATGTAAACAGGTTGAATGTTGTTTGTTCATATGCTGCGTTGTAGAGCCACCCTAACACCAAAACTATAGATACATTTATTTTAAGAACTTTTTGCTCATTTTAGATTGTTTTTGCAGTTAGGAACTGGTTAATTGGAAAAACAATCTTAAATGAAGTAAAAATTCTTTAAATTATGTGTGTTTGCCCTTATTTTGAATAGGTAAATGAAATCATTTGCCAATGGAATTACCGGTAGTATTTTTAGTCTTAAAATAATATATTTAGATAAAATGAACTCAAAATAAGACAATGCCATTGTGTTTTCTTATTTTAAATTGGCTTGTTCCACGTATCCATTTACAAAGATAGACAGGAAGAGCGTGAAAATGTTTTTTAATTTCTTATGAATAGAACTGTATGTAATTTAACACAAAAAAGTTTGTAATAGAGTCTAAAGGTAGGTAATATACAGTGGTGTAAAAACCATGTTTAATTGAACCCGAGCGGCTAATTTTAATGTACCTCATCATTGCAGTATGTCATTTTGAGGAAAATGGCTTATGGTTCAAATGGTTATTAAAGGAGCTTCTAAAATGTATTTGTTTTAGCATTTCCAATATCTTACTTTTCTTTCCTCTGCTTTTACAACATTTGATTAAATCTACCCCTAAGTTGAGTTGGTAAATAAGATGATCTGCTAAAGGAATGAGAATTTAACCCTTAAAATACGATAATTAGATCATATGCACTTGAAATAAGAGATGGCAGTTTTGTTTTGTTATTTTAAATGTAAACTATCCTTTTCCATTGGCAAAGTGTCTCGTTTACCTGCTCAATTCAATACGAAATGCACTTATTTTAGGAAAAAATTACTTACTTAGATGTAATTTCTGTTGTAGTGCTGTTCACCTAAAACGACAGTTTGGGTAAGTTGGTTGAAATATCGACAGAACTGAGTTTAACTCACACAGAGACATTTACCTCAATGATCACAGGGGTGTATGTATATTTGTGATCCTTTTTGTTTATTAGAAAATATAGGCTTAAGTTTCTTTTGGGGATTTATGTTAATAGATAAAACTTCTAATCCAAATTCAATCTTAAAAGAGAAAAAAAAGTTTTATTTTCTTGTGAAAAATTAAAATCAATTGGACCATATATTCTCCACTTTTGTAATTAGATGCTGTAAATACAGTATAGTGAGAGAAAAAATAAAACCAATTTTTGGTTTGATATCATTGTTAACTCTCCAGTGTTTGTTTCTCTTCCTCTCCTGCCATCTCAGGTCTTTCTTAGAGAGTCCCTGGAGCATCGGCTGGAGAAGCAGAGGGAGGTGGAGGTGCTGAAAGCAGCCATGATCATCCAGGCCCACATCATGGGCTACATGGCAAGGTATTATTTAAAGCTAAACTCCAAGTAATGTTCATTGTATGGCCATAAAATGACGCTTTGGTTTCCCTGGCGGCTTTGCCTCCAGGAAGCAGTACAGGAAGCTGCTGCAGTGCATCGTGGTCATTCAGAAGAACTACAGGGCTTTCTACTACAGGAGGAAGTTCCTCCTCCTGCGCTGGGCCGCACTCACCTTTCAGAAGCGTTTGCGGGGCCAGCTGGCCCGCCGGGCCTTCAGCCGGCTGCTGGAGGAGAGGAGGGAGAGGGAGGAGTGCCGCAGAAAGATGGAGGAGGAGATGGAGAGGTGAGATTTGTCCTGATTTCTCCATCAACCCTACCTGCTTAAAAGCAGCTGACATTTATGGGGTTTTTTGTCTTTGCAGGGAGAGACTGAGACTGGAGGCTGAGAGACTCTTCAAAGAGGTGGAAAATTGGTGTTATTATTTATTGTAGCTAAAATAGCTAAAATAAGTAAGCTTCAGTAAAAAGACAGGCAAACAAAAGGTGTTTTAAAGCAGCAGAAATAACCCAGTTGAGTGAGAGAAATGTTGCTTTTATTCATACATTTCAGCTATGCTGTGAATGATCATTAACTTTCTAAATGGCTTAATTTTTATCAGAAGCTTTTGCAACATAACAAACTTCTTCTGGTTTAATATCATGTAGTCCTCAGACATTTAATGCTCTCTGAATGACTTTTGCTTTATTTAAAGAAATAATTAAATCTAACATCTCCAACAAACATGTTTCCATCAGACAGTTTTATGTTTTTTTTTTTTTTTGGTCTTTTTCAAGGCTGAAGAAGCTCGTCTACTTCAGGAGCTACATCGCGCCCAGGAGCTGCATCGCGCCCAGGAGCAGCATCGCATCGAGGAGCTGCATCGCGCTGAGGAGCAGCATCGTGCCAAGCAAATCGCCTCTCTTGGTTTTGCTCATTCTCAGCTGGAAGAAGCTGCTGCAGCATCCCCTGAAACACCGGCAGAGCTGGAATCAGTGGATGTCTTTGAGGAGGCAACAGAAGAAGAGGCCATCCGTCCCCAGGAGGCGTCTCAGGTTGAAGAGATCCTCCGGTTGGAGAGAGAGATCCAGGCCCTGCAGAGGCAGAAGGAGCGTCAGGAGCTCTCCCTGACCGAAGCGTCCCTCCACCGCCTGCAGCGTCTTCGGGATCAGGAGCTACGGCGGCTGGAGGATGAGGCCTGCAAGGCGGCGCAGCAATTCCTCGACTCGCTGAACTTCGATGAGATTGACGAGTGTGTGAGGAACATTGAGAGCTCTTTAAGTGTGGAAGAGGGAGAGGAAGAGGAGAAGGAGAAGGAGAATGAAGGTAGGAGACGCAGCGATGAGGAGGAGGTGGATGAAGGGTTCGGAGCCGATGATGAGGCTTTCAAAGACTCGCCTAATCCGAGTGAGCATGGCCATTCAGACGGTCAACGGACAAGCGGAATCAGAACGAGCGACGACTCCTCCGAAGAAGACCCGTACGCCAACGATGTGGTGATCCCACCGATGCCCCTCACCACCCTGCTTCACCAGCCGCTGCCTCCTTTACCTCCAGCCTCCCACAGCGTCTCATCCAGTGGCGACTCCGCCTTCTGCCACCCGCAGGCTTCGTCTGAGGCGCCGTCTGACGACCTGGTGGAGCTGATTCCACCAGATGAGGACTCTGACTATGACCAGGATGACTATGATGAGGGTGCCATTGTGTCCAGCGGCAGCATGGCCTTCTCCAACTCACGCAGTGGACAGTGGTCTCCTGATTACCGGGGCTCAGTGGGGACATACAACAGCTCTGGAGTTTACCGCTTCAGCTCTGAAGGCGCTCAGTCATCGGTGAGTTTCTTATCCTGGAGACTGACTGCAACTGGTCGGGTCGACCATGTTGGATGCATTAACAATCAGTTGATTTCATTAACAGATTAACCTTTTCATGCTATATTTATTTTATTCCCTCTTTGGATCACTGAAAACATTTAAATTTGTTTAATCAGCAGTTAGTCCAACTTTAAAGGTTATAGTTTGCAGTTCCAGCTTCATCCAGATTGAGAGAAAGCCTAAATCTAGGCCCACGTGTAAGGCTCTGGTTAAAGCGCTGGACGAGGTGACCCAGCTCACACAGGGTTACCGTCTCTGCAGTCTGTCCTACAGATGCCCTCAAATTAAAATCTTTAATGTGTTGGTGAACAGAGAGGTCCTGGACTGACTCTGCCAGCAACTGAACCTTAGCAGGTTAATTATTGGTAGGATTCCTGCCTCCTCTCGTCGCATCGTGATGTACCCCTGGGCAAGCTACCCACTGGTTTAAATGTGTGTGGTCAACGTAGCTCTTGTGTAAAACGGTCTGAGTGCCTGATAAGACTGGATAAGTGTCTCAGATCTGATCCTTAAAACTTTTGCTTAATTTTCAAAGAAAAGAGGCTTTTTCTTTGTCCGGTCCTGAAACCAAACATCTAACACACCAGCTGAAGCCTGTCCTGTGAGCTGAGGCTCTTTGTTTATTATTAGTTTTTCGTCCAAAAAGCAGCCTAAAATATTTCTAACTTGTTTCTCACAAGGCCCTGAAACCCGTCCCAAACTGATCAGCAGCAACAGGTGAATCTCAGTGCCATTGTCTTTCCATCCTGGCATTGTGTTCCCACACCTGTCTGTATGCTTCAGCACAGCTAGCCACCAGAACGCCTATTTACACACTTAAATCCCATGAACGCAGCAGTTCTTAACTCACAGGTTTTCATTAGGAAAACTGCTGTTGTTTTTTTATTTCCGAGGCTCAGTTTATGTAAAGAATGATACCAAAATTCCATCCTATGTTCTGATAATAAACTGATTAATTTAAAGACATAGTATTTTATTTTTCTCTTAAGAGAGATCCTCAAGCTTTGAATATTTTGTCTGACTTTTGTTGCAGTTTGAGGATAGTGAAGACGACTTTGACAGGTTTGACACAGACGACGAGTTATCGTATCGACGGGACTCTGTCTACAGCTGCGTCACTCTGCCGTACTTCCACAGTTTCCTCCACATCAAAGGTAACTCCTCTCTCTCTACCATTTAATCTGAAAAAGCAAAAGGATTTTTAGAGCTCCTTCTTTAGGTGATTTAAGGCCACAAGCAGCCTGCTGTCAGAGCGTCCTCCCTCACTGTAGCAGGAAATAATGTTCTATCCTTTCATCCTCAGGGGGTCTGATCAACACGTGGAAGCGGCGCTGGTGTGTTCTGAAGGACGAGACCTTCCTGTGGTTCCGAGCCAAGCAGGAGGCGTTGAAGCAGGGCTGGCTGCACAAGAAGGGAGGCGGCTCGTCCACGCTGTCCCGCCGCAACTGGAAGCGCCGTTGGTTCGTGCTGAGGCAGAGCAGGCTCATGTACTTTGAGAACGACAGCGAGGAGAAGATGAAGGGGGTGCTGGACATGCATAATGCCAAGTAAGAAACAAAGAAAATCTGCCCCTGGTTTTACTCATCTTACAATGGTGCATTTTGATCCACTTGATCAATACTTACAAGTGTTTTGTTTATTTTTTGTTTTTTTGATCTGCAGAGAAATAGTTGACAACACGGGTAAGGAGAATGGTATCGATATTGTGATGCCAGAGAGGACCTACCATCTGATCGCAGAGTCTGCTGAGGATGCAAGGTGTGTCTTGTGCTCTTTAAACATGTCTTAATCCTACCCAGAACCTTCTCATACCTGCAGAGTTTCTCACAAACAATCCACTTACCTGGAAACCTAGTGTTATAAATACTGACTAGTAGCTGCTCTGCACAGCGTCCCTTGTAAAGAATAATGATTGGTAAAAATCTGCTGTTCATGGAGAATTAAATCGAAGAATTAGAGGAAAATTTGTGATTCTGTTCTACTTATTTTAGCTCAATGAGCTAAAATACTCATGCTACTAAACGAGCCATTATTGCCACCCCTCCACCTATGCTCTTTGGGAATTAGGGTGTTTTTTATGGTGTTTTTACTGACTCCTTTACATGCAATATACTCCCTCTTCAACTTTGAAGAGGAAACAAACATACTGTAGGAGTAGATTAGTCAGCTCTCAGTTTTGCATGCGTACCATATGAGCAGCTGTATTACTGCCAGGTGCTGCCAGCTCTCCACCCCTGAGCTTGACAAGAGTTACGGGATGTTCATGCTCATATGATGTGTCAGGGGTTCTGCAGACATGGTTCTGTGCATCATACCTAAATGTCTCCACTTTTCATCTGGACGTGAGCTTGTCTGCTTTTCTGCTCAGCACAAAGTTGACCTGTTCTTGTATGTACACCATTTCTTGTAAATGACCAGTTCTCTTCCCAATTAGTCACCTAGCTATAAAGACCTTATCATTGAAAATATTGATAACATCAATTGTCTTAATGTTCAGTTTTGCATGCATTTTGTATTGAGATGCATTCACATAGAACTGGAAGAAACCAAATGGAGCGAGTGGTTTACATGTTATCTTTTAGGCAAAAGACATGATCAAAAGGGAATTAAGGGTTAGAGAAGTAAAGGATGTGTTCTGACTGATGCAAATGGTGCAAATTGGGCAAATCCACCGAAGAAAAATTATGAATAGACGCAATAGAAGCACAAAAAGACAGAAGCAAAGTTTCGCCGGAGTTCAAGAATGTTAACTTTTCTTTTAATTTGCATTGTGTAACCAATCACGTACTGGATATGGTGGTGATCTAGGGTGAAGGAGCGCAGAGGACACCATGTTTTTGGACACAAAGACAAAAGTCTTTAATCTGACCATAGCTATTTAAGTGGTGTTAGGAGCGTTTGTCCGTCTGTTCTTGTTTGGATTTCCACATCAAACACTTCACCGTGACTCGCTCAGGAATATCAAGGTCCTTCATATTGAATTGAACAAACAGGAGTAATGAGCAAATGGACAGAAAGTTCTCCTGTTTGATGACATGGTGAATTAAATTCACTTTATTTATATAGCACCAACTCACAACAAATGCCATCTGAAGCTAGCGGAGCTAGGATTACATTTCCCAGTGTCACTTGTGAGGGAGATTCAAAATGTCCCTTTCACACTGTCATATTTGGTGTCAAAGCACCTTCAGGGTACTCTAGTTTTAAGCTTAAGCTCACCGCTAGCAAAGAGAACAGAAGAAGGAAAGAAGTTTTAATAGATGATGCTCAAACTAGGAAGAAGTTCTTAGGGTGAATCTCCACTGGAATCACACGATTTAACGATTTTACTTATTGAACAGGTTTATGTTAGTGAGATAACATTCTTTGCATTTGATAAAAATCATGCTGATGGTGTTTCCATGGTTACAGTCAATGGTTTAGCGTGCTGAGTCAGGTCCACGGCTCCACCGAACAGGAGATCAGTGAGATGCATGATGAGCAGGCCAATCCCCAGAACGCTGTGGTGAGTTCACCAAACGATCACCAATATGCCTGATTCATCTCCTCTTTTTTTAGAAAATCCAGCAATATTGATGAAGCATCTTTTCTACCTGTAACCCTTTTATTCCTCACCTGCATTCTTCCTTCCTCAGGGCACGTTGGACGTGGGCATGATTGACTCGGTTTGTGCATCAGATAATCCAGAAAGGTGTGTGTCATGTCTTCAGTCTATCAAAAGGCCAGTTATCTGTTTCTTAAACCATGTTTTCTCTTGTGTTAAAACCAGACCAAACTCTTTCGTCATCATCACTGCGGAGCGGGTGTTGCACTGTAACGCTGACACGCCTGAGGAGATGCACCACTGGATCACCCTCCTGCAGCGCTCTAAAGGAGACGCCCGGGTGGATGGCCAGGAGTTCATCATTAGAGGTAGGTTTCAGAATGGATATGAGGAGAGAACAGTCTGTTACTATTTCTTTAAAAAATGGAGAAGAACTTGGTCATTATGGTTTTAAGCAGGTTCTAACATAATCTGCAGCTAAAGAAAAATGTCTGTTGAAAACTTCCTTCCTTCCTTCCTTCCTCATTTCCTTCCTTCTTTCCTTCCTTCCTTATTTATTTTCTATTTCTTAATTAGTTCCTTCCTTATTTCCCTCCTTATTATTTTCCATACATCCTTAATGTCCTTAACATTTTCCTTCCTTACTTATTTCCCTCCTTATTCATTTCCTATCTTCCTTTGATCGTTCCTTCCTTCTTCCCTTCCCTTTTTCCTTACCTATTTCCTTCTTTCCTTTTTAAGCCTCTAGGCCTACATCTAAAGTCTGGATTACAGTAGAAAATCTACTGATAAATCATAGTTAGGTTCTGAACAGGAGAAAGCTTGTAGAAGAACCTGAATTAAATTCAAATTTCAATTCAGTTTATTTATATAGCACTAATTCACAACTAATTTCTAGTGTTGCGCCGATGCCAATCTTTTGGCCCCGATACCGATACCCGATACCTGGCTGTTCAGTATCGGCCGATACCGATTACATAATGTAAAATAATTGCCATCATGGCTTTGTCAAGCTGCTGCCTACCTTTGTGAAGCAGGAAAAAATCTAATACAAAGTGAATCCAGTAGAACTTTTTATTCCCTACCTGGAATGGGTGACATTAGTTGAATAAACTTATGGCTCTCAAAATGGTATCGGTGCCCTCTTTGTTGGTACTCGCCGATACCGATACCACCATTTTAGGGCAGTATCAGGGCCCCGTCCGATAATGGTATCGGTATCGGTGCAACACTACAAATTTCATCTCATGGCACTTTACAGAGACAGTTCAACCAGATCATATAGTCAGACTGGTTCAAAGTTTCTATCTAAGGAAAACCAGTTGATTGCATCGACTCATTGACTCGAAGGCAATCCCTCACACTAAGCATGCTTGTAGCAACAGTGGAGAGAAAAACTCCCTTTTAACAGGAAGAAACCTCCAGGAGAAGCCAGACTCAGTGTGAGCGGCCATCTGCCGAGGCTGGCTGGGGTTCAAGGAGACAGAGATAGACTTACAGAAAGATGCAGAAATAAAAGTACTGAAGAGAACAATGTTCTTAATTCCTGATTGGAAAATGATTGTCTCAAATACCTGCAAGATCAACCATAAATAAAACTAAATACTTGAGTGCTGACATTTCAGATTTTATGTAATAGATTTGTACACTTTAAAAGGTTGTAAAACAAATAGAGCAGAATAACAGAGATGAATTGATCTTCTTCAGGCTGGTTGCACAAAGAGATGAAGAACAGTACCAAAGCCTCAATGAAGCTGAAGAAACGCTGGTTCCTGCTCACCCACAATTCCCTGGACTACTACAAGAGCTCAGAGCGGAACGCCTTGAAGCTGGGAACCCTGGTGCTGAACAGCCTCTGTTCTGTGGTGCAGCCGGATGAAAAGTTCTACAAAGAGACCGGTAAGTTCATGGCATAGGTAGAGGAATTCATGTCCCACTGTCTTCTTGTTTTCATACAGCTCACATGTTTGAATTTTGCTTGGCAGGATACTGGAATGTGACCGTCTACGGAAGAAAACACTCGTACCGACTCTACTGCAAGCTGCTGAACGAAGCCACGCGTTGGGCCAGCTCCATCCAGAATGTCATCGACACCAAAGCTCCCATCGACACACCGACCCAGCAGCTCATCCAGGACATTCGGGTAAATAATAATATTCTCTCTGTGCAGCTGAGGCTTAGCTTAACAGGGTTAAAGGGACTTCTAAGATGTAAAAGTCCTGAGCCTGTTGTGATACAGGTTCGGATTGGAATTCTCCAGTTAAAGATCAGCTGTGCTTTTGTCTGCAGGAGAACTGTCTGAACTCAGAGGTGGTGGAGCAGATCTACAAGAGGAACCCCATCCTGCGCTACAGCCACCATCCGCTGCATTCCCCGCTGCTGCCGCTGCCCTACGGAGACATCCAGCACAGCGGTAAGACGCAATACAAAAACAGACACCCATCAACTGGGCCAGGAAGGTGACAAAGATCCCAACCACCTTCCATGACCTTTAGCTTCTTATCCTCAGTCATCTCTAACAGATTTGATCCTCACAGGAGTAGCTAGAATTTCACCAGGTACCCTGATGCAAGTCTGGTCTTGATTCTGAAGTATTTATATTCTAGAAAGAGTGGTGGTAAAAAGTGGTAATGTTCTAGTACCTATCTGATTCACCAGAGAGTACATTTCATCTTCTCTCTTCTGTCTCTCACCCAGCGTCACGCAGTAGAAGCTACACAACCCTGCAGGATGAAGCCCTCAGAGTGTTCAGCTCTCTTCAGCACCTTGACGGAGTGGCTGACCCCGTCCCCATCATCCAGGGGATCCTGCAGACAGGCCAGGAGCTCAAACCGCTGCGTGACGAGCTCTACTGCCAGCTGATCAAGCAGACCACCAGACCACCGCAGCCCGGGAGCCCTGGGAACCTCTGCAGCTGGAAGATCCTTGCTTGCATGTCCTGCACCTTCGTCCCCTCACGGAGCATCCTTAGATACCTAAAGTTCCACCTGAAGAGGTAAGCAGTGGTTTACAGAGGGGATTCTTTTATTCCTGTAGCTTACAGTTGACCTGTTGACCTGGTATCTGTCCACAGGACCCGTGAGCTCTTCCCCGCCTCTGAGATGGACCGTTACGCCGCCTTCGCATTTGACTCTTTGAAAAAGACTCGATCTAGGGAGAATGTGCCGTCGCAGGAGGAGATCCGCTCCATCGTGGCCCGGCAGGAGATGAGCACCACGGTTCACTGCCATGGGGGAGGTTCCTGCAAGATCACCATCAACTCTCACACCACAGCCGGAGAGGTTAGTTCCCTTACCAAAGACAACAGAAGGTCACTGATCATAACAAATATACAAAAAAGAAAGCCGGAAATTTTAATCTGGAAAGAGAAAACATGTAAGATTCTGGTTCATTTGAGGAAAAAGACAATAGTGAGTTGGTTTAAAGTCAGGAAAGGTTGTCAGGATTTAGGTTTTAATTTGAAAAGTTCTCCAAAATGTAGTTTGCATTTTTGTGACTGGTCCCCACCCATCCCTGTCAGGTGGTGGAGAAGCTGATCCGCGGCCTGGCCATGGAGGACAGCCGGAACATGTTTGCTCTGTTCGAACACAACGACACCACAGAGAAGGCCGTCGAGAGTCGGGCTGTGGTAGCAGATGTGCTCGCCAAGTTTGAAAAGTAAGCTCCAGCATTTAAGTCTAGTTTACAGGCATCCTTTAGCCTCTGGGTCTGCTATTAATGTTCCACTTCTGTTCTGCAGACTTTCAGCGAGCGCAGAGGAAAACAACACCGGCTGGAAGCTGTACTTCAAGCTGTACTGCTTCCTGGACACCGATGGCGTTCCTAAGGACAGCGTGGAGTTCGCCTTCATGTTTGAACAGGTGACCACTGTTGACCTTCATTTAATTCACCTCTGGGTTTTTTTGCATATATTAGTCTCTGCTGGGTAGCTGATTCAAATAGATTGGTCTGTTTATTCAAAAGAGAAAATGATAACATATCAGAGGAAACTTTGTTAAAGGAATGTTTTAATGTCTCTAAGGCTCATGAGGCAGTCATTCAGGGTCACTACCCTGCCCCAGAGGAGACTCTTCAGTTTCTGGCCGCCCTAAGGCTGCAGTACCTCCTTGGTGACCAAAACCCCCAGGCGAACATGCCAGAGATGTCCCAAGTTTTCCCCATGGCCCGCCTGCGCGCCCGCGTGCAGAACTCCGCCAAGTCGTTCGCTCCAGGTTCTGGTTCAGTGGCAGAACGCTCCGGAACGGCAGAAAGAAAACGCTCCAGCTTCCTGGAGGGGACGCTGAGGCGGAGCTTCAGGAGCGGCTCTCTGAGCCGGCAGAAGCTGGAGGAAGAGAACAGCCTGGAGGCCTGGATGAGGGAGGAGGCAGCGGCGGTGAGGACCAGCGTCATGGACAAGTGGAGGAAGTTCCAGGGCATGAACCAGGAGCAGGCCATGGTGAAATACATGGCACTGGTGAAGGAGTGGCAGGGATACGGCTCAACGCTCTTCAACGTCGAGGTGAGGATGGAACAGTTTCCTCTTGTAGGTTTTATGGAAACCGAGCCGAGCATCATTGACCCTCTCTGATAACCCTTCTAGTGCCGTGATGGAGCGTTCCCCACGGAGCTGTGGCTCGGTGTGAGCAGAGAGTCCATCTCTGTGTACAAACGAGGGGAGCCATGGCCTCTGGAGGTTTTCCCCTACGAGCTGATTCTGTCCTTTGGAGCGCCGCTGCCCAACATCTACAAGATCGCTGTGGAGGGCCGAGAGCTGGTCTTCGAAACCCAGATGGTCAGTACCACTCCAAACATAAATCCACCTCTATTGGTGCCTCCTATAAAAGCTTTAACAGTGTGAAACGTGTCAGCTGTAACAAACCTGAATGCTGCTCCTCTCCCCCTGCAGGTGATGGACATCGCTAAGCTCATGAAGGCGTACATCAGCATGATCGTGAAAAAGCGCTACAGCAACAGTCAGTCCGTCAGCAGCCACGGAAGCAAATGCAGTGCTTGGTGAAGTCGGCTGAAGGATGGAGACCCAGAAGGATTGACGCCACTCGTAAGGAGAAACACCACGGTGCTACTACACTGTCCTCACATGGAGGAACTGTTCGCTAACATCACCTTTAAGTGTTTGGTGAAACGTTTCTGATGTTAACTGTTCTTTGGATGCAAAGACAAGGAAAGTAGATGAGGCTGCACCTCAAACCGAAATCAGTGACATTTCTTCACTATGTCCACATTCTGCTGGGGGCAGATCTGAGCTCAGACCAAAGTATCTGCAGGTCGGAGCTAATGAGAACATCTGGACCTTCAGGTATGATGCTCATAATCAGTCATCAGAGCAAACCACAAACTAAGGCTAGGTTAAAATCCCTCAGATAAAGATTAGATTTTCTCTATGGGCTACTTATGATGATGCTTTATATGAAGTGGAATGTGGTCCATTTAAAACCTTAAAAATTAAGACATTTATCTGAATATTAAAAGATTTGGGCTCCAAAATGTTCCTGTTTTCCGTACCGAAGAAAACCGGTTCTCATTGAGTCAGCATTGACTTTTAGCCACTTTTTAAAAAACATGTACAAAGTTGACTTTATGGCCATATCTTGTGGGAAAAAAAGGTTGAAACCCCGTGGCACACAGCAGTTACTAATAAAAAGACTGTCTGAATGTATTTTTCTCACTTCCAAAAACAAAACAAGCTGCCCTGAATACAATTCTCGAGCCTTTCGATTCTTTTATGACTGATTTACAGAGAATAAGAGATCCTAAAGTGCCTGGATGAACTCTAACCAGAAAAGTTGCGGGTGAAAGTTTCTCAGAAAAAGAAAAAGGTGCTTAAAGGTTTCCTGAAACCGCTGAACTAGTCCAAGTGCACAAGTCATTCAAGTTTAAGTTTCCAAAATTTCACAACTCACCATTTGTTAGACAATCGTTAGCTGATACCAGATCCTCTGTATATGTTCCGGTGGACCACAAAAATATGCTTTTTTCAGGATTAGATATGAATCATTTTTAGGAAACCTGGGAACAAACAGCTTTTCTACAGCAGCAATCCTTACAGATCTGGAACATGTAAGCAGATATTTGTTCCAGCGTTGACTGACCCGCTCGGTCCGACCCGGTTCGGCAGCGTGACATTCCAACATTTCTCTGGAGCTCCGCGGGCGGCAGATCCATCCAAAGATGTGCAGGTTCCTCCCACAGTTCAGTGCCTTGTTGTAAATTCTGTACTTATTTTGTTTTACACCTGCGGATTGGTATTTGGTATAATGTGCAATGTAATATATACATATATATTATATATGATATAATCATGTGGACTGTACATTTCAGGTCTTTGCTTCTGATTTATCATCCCAGCATTTTTCTCTTGTTTTGTTTTTTTGTATTCTTTTAAATCTGAATTAGCAGCAATGTGTGTCGATCTGATGATTCTTACAATAAATAAAACAATTATATTTGGTGAAACTGCTTTTTTTTCATTATTTTCTTATGATCTGAGTGAAAGAAATCCCTAAATTTAAATTGGAATTCAAATTTTTACAATTTCATTGATAAAATCAGACATAATCGAAATCAGCTTCAGGATTCAGTCTAAAATGTTCATGGGAAAACCTGTAATGCATTACATTGACTTTTGTATTGTATTATTATGTAAGATCAGTGCAGTATAACTTTCATTGATAACCTACAATAAAAACAATGCATTAATGTGGAGACAATGAATCAAAGATGTATAAAAAGTCCCATTTCTATGGCATCATCCGCCTTCCCTACCTGTGTGACTATCTTGCCCTCAAAGCTTCCTGCAGGGAAATCTTGCATTCTGACTAATCTACTTTCTAAAGCAGCGGCTTATTGGAATATGTTATTTTCCCCCTGAGTTTATGTTATAAAAGATAAAGCCTTCCTGTCAAGAAAGAAAACTAAACTAAACAGCTAGAAGCAAGATGGCAACTTTTATTCTGATTGGCCAGGTTGAGCGGACACCATCCACAGCTTCAGCACACAGGTCAGCTTAGTTCATTTTTTCTTTTACAGTCGTTCCTATTCCTATATTTAGATTTAGATTTTCACAAACTGCTTAAAACTGAAACTATTGTTAAGTTGTTTCACCCTACATCGCTCACAACACTGCAGAACTAGTCTTATCAATACAAGATCCACAAAACAGAAATAAATCTGAGGCAGTCTGACTTTTTTTTCCCATTTTTCTGAAGACATTTCAACAGAAAAAATTAGAGCAAAGTCTGATAGCCTCCAGTTTAAAAGGTTTTTGTGGTTTCCATAACTCAAATAATTTACACAGACTTTAGAATAAGACATTTCCAGCCCAAACCTGAGCCCATTGTTTGTCCAAGTGGTGCATGTTAGTTAAAGGTGTCGATCATTCGATTTCATCCTGGACACTCCAGAAAATGGGCTAAAAGTGTTAAAAACCGGAATTTTCCTTTAAGCTGGGAATTCAGATCCTTAAACTAATTTATCTTTGAACAAAGACAACTAGATTAAATGCAAAGGGTGCTTTAAAATTGGTAGATAAATAGAAATGAATGCTATTCATAACTAATTCAAATCATGAAAATTGTGTCATGATGTGTGAAATCGTACTGCTCTCCAGAACATCTCACATAGTCCATCTCTCCAAAGGCTTGAAGCTTTCAAATCTGATGGATTTAAATGAATGAATCCACATTTCTCTCTGTGTACAAATATCCTTTATACATGACAACCATGTTACATACAAAGGAAACACATATAGTCACATTCAAGTCATATTTGTGCTGCACAATGAGACGTTGATATTAAGCCTCTTAAGGCACCAAATTAACCAAAAAAATCTTTAAAATCCATCCAATGCTTGGAAGCTAAACAGAGCATTGACCATAAACGTCTTAGTAAAGTGTGGTTAAATTCTTTGTCACAGCAAAACACTTTCATGTTAAATGAATGTTGCTTATAGCAGCGTATTCCAGAAAATGAACAAAAACCTGCTGCATCATCAATTGAAATCTGTACCATTCAGATGTCAGGTTGTGCTCATTAGAAACCATGTTGGCTTCTGTTTTATATCTATGTAAAACATTGATATGATTTAATAGACCTGGTTAGCTTTCTAACTAGTTAGAGTATAAACACTCATCTTTGCTCACTGACTGGGAAGTGTTTATTGGAACTAATGAGATAAGATCTAATTTACTGAGACTTTAAAATAATAAAAAGTTGCTTAATATTCATAGAAAATCAAAAGGGTATTATATTTGGACAGGAATATAAAGGTGGAAGCATCAACATTTTGTACTGGACAAACATTTCTGCAACACGCTGACCCTGTTCAAACTAGACTCCTTCAGCCTCTAGTGGGTATTTGCATTACTGCTCTGTTAATTTCAATTTAGGGATAATAAAATACATTCTTGATAAAAATAAAAAAAAAAGAAGAAGAAAATGTTTTATGGTTAAAAATCATTAAATAAAAAAGGGTTAGAGTTAAGATCTGTTACTTAAAGCTACAGTGTGTAATTTTCAGCGACATCTAACGTCCAGACTGCAGACTGCAGCAACATGAACATCTCCCCCCCACCGCTTCTCCCCCCCAACAGTACGGCGAGCGTTACGGGACAAAATGTCTTCCACGACGTCCGCATCACCTACCTTCTCAAGTGATGAGGTTTGTTTACATAGATAATTTTACAGATGGTATTTCATTAGTCTGTGTAGGGTATAGATTTCATGTAGACTTAAGATAATAAATATACCCGTAATGGGCGATCTCGCAATCTCTAGTTTGTTGGCTCTGCGCTGCCGTAGCGCAAAGATGTCTGCCTCCATGGCTGCGAGACCCGCTCCTATGTAATTATAAATAACAAATTCGAAGGCAACGCAAATATTAAGGTTAAGAGGCTGAGCTCGTAGATGATGATAAATAACATAGTTATGTATAATATATTACATTTCTGACTGTATATCCCTGTAATTATTACACACTGTAGCTTTAACTTTGCTTCCACATAGATATTGTCTGAATAAGTTTTAAACTGGGTTCAGATAAGAGTCCAGTTATTAGACAGACAGAAGAGACAGAGCTACAGTTATGATGAAAAGAACATTAATTATCTTTCAATCTTTAGATTTTCTATATCAGGACTTAATAAAAAAAAAGGATGTTTATTGGGTAATATAAAGTGTAAAAGAATGCACAACAGATTAGTGGGTCATCAGCACTGAGATGTGGGTTAACACCACACCAAGACCTAAAGACATCATCACTGCAGGTGCAACCTTATGACCAGCAACTAATGCTGCTTATAAATCTTTAAAGGGTTATGAATGTACTATAGGTAGAATGTAAAAGTTCATAACAGGACAGGTCAAAAGTGGCTTGATTTGGAAGAGGCTGGGGAAAAAGAAAAAAGGTTTAATTTCTCTTTAGAGAACATGGCTGGGTCTGCATGAAGAAAATTACTTCTGGAACAACATTCTATGGATGAGACCAAGACAGCTCAGCCACAATGATGTGGTTGGAGAAAACCATATGATAGAATATCAGTGCAAGCAACTACTGGTGGAGGGATGAACACCTGGGGTTGCATTGCAGCCACGGGAACGGCATGCTTTGTATTCATTGAGTCAACTATGACCTGCTTTCATTAATAAAGTATTCAGGAGTCTTCTGTCTGACAGTTGAAGCTTAGGTCAACTGGTTAATCAACAATAATCCCAAACAGCAGACATCCAGTTTTTATTATGTCCTAGCCTTTAGATGAGTAGAAACACCTGCAAAAGCTAAATTAGCTGAAGTAATGTTTTCATTACGTCCTGATAGGTAAAACCTAAGAACTGAAGGAGGGGGTTATTTTCTCAAAGATGACTGACAGCAGCTCAAATAATGTTTCTGGCCTGTAGTGATGGTCTACCTCTTTAGTTCACAGTGCTTAAAGTCTGAATACATCCTGACAAATTCTTCAATAACAAAACGTCTTGGCACTAAAGACAGTAACAACCCTAGATTAGAAGTTTTCTGATTTTGGACCTTTAGAAGCTGCTTGGCTGCCTCTACTGAAAACATCAAGGAATTCCTAAGTTCGGACCATAAAAGGTGACAGATCTCAAAGAGAAAGTTACCTAAACTGCTTCGACTAGACTGAAATAACCTATTATCAAACCTTCCTGATCTAGAATCTAAAGGATTAAATGAGCCCCAAGTTCTGGAGTAAGCAATCATAACAGAATAGTCTGACCTTATATACGCTACGATTTAAACTGTTTATGATGGATGAAACAGACTCAGTCACAGTGCCAACATTGTGTTCTTGAACATCCATCTTTATGTCTTGAAACAGCTGCTGTAACGTAAAGATGGAAGAGAAATACCTTATCGAGATTGGTTTGGGGACCAGCCCCAGAGAGAAGAAACACCCCAACTTATCTGAAGCACATGAAGCAACCAGAACGGTGGCAACGAAGTTTGAATGTATGAGCCTTCAGATTCCAAGAGTGTGATGGATCCAAGGTGTTTACTCTGCTTCAAACTGACGTTACACGAATGACAACCTCTCCCGAGTCAGCGTCCTGGCTCAGGTTGTTTCGAGGCACCAGCCCACGACAGAAGGGGGCCAAACAGAGGCAGGTCCACGGCCGTGACCCGAGCTGGGTGGGATGCAAGGGCCCGCCGGGCCCAAGGGTAGTCAGAGGCAACCAAAGCGTCCTGGGGCCCAGCGAGGAGTGGGCAGTGCTGGTCTCCTCCATGTCTTTGGCCTTGTCATAACTTTGAACATCCCAATGGAGGTTTACTGCTCGCCAGCGCATGAAGACGTTATACACTGCTGCCCCCTCATGGACTATCAAACCTGTTACAATGACAGCAGAGTAGGACAATGGGATATATAAATGCATGGGAGGACAGAGAAACCTCACTTATAGGTAGCAACACAATGTCACTTTGAAATTTTAGAAAACAAATCAGCTTTGAATTTGAGCGCATTAGCAAGATCTTATTCTGAGAAATGATTTCCATAAATAAAATGTCCAGGGCCACACTTTTAAACCATTGACTTCTGAAGTTCTATTTCATCCCTACTGACCGCTAGAGGCGGTGCTTCAAGCACCGCCTCTGGCGGTCAGTAGGGATTCATAGAACCGTAGTTACGGTAGTAACTTTCGTTCTCCATGTAGCACAGACGCTAATTTCCCTTTGTCAGAACAGAAACGGTAAGAAAACATGACATAATCAATCTTAATGCCACAAGCAAATAATTATATTAGAATAATTTAAGAATAATTTTAAACAACTGGAACTTTAAGACATAAAAAAATCTTCATTATGGGATCACCGGGTTTCCATAGCAACCGTTGGAGCTATGTAAATGCCAGAAAAAGGCCCTACCAGCATAAATGTCTTTGAAATTTTAGGGAACTTTACAGGGCCTTTAACTGGACTTGAGTGCTTTTTGGTCACAAAAAGCTCTGATTGAGTTAGAGGATGAAACCTTTTAATCAACAAATACTGCAGACATTAAAACAAACTATGCAATGTAGAAAAGCACATCATGTCCACTGTCAATTAAAGTGAAGACTGTGATGCTAGGGGTCTGTTTCTCTTCCAAAGGCTCTAGAAACACTGGCATTAAATCTTTTGTTATGTAGGATATTGACTTGGCAGAAGAAAAAAATTTAACCCTGCAGTCCAATAGAAACAGTGCTGTGCTTAACAGAGGAAAACATGAGGAGTAAATGCTCCGGGCAGCAATTACTTTCTTTGTTTTTTTTCTGAACAATTACGCACAACATCAGTGTTGGATTTTTTTTTTCTGTTATTTTCTCCACATTATAACCTTGTGCCCTTGTACTTCTGTGTGATCTTTAACGGTGCAAAAATGAACTTACGGTAAAACAACCCACAATATCTCCAGAAAGCTTTTTTGCTTTCATTTGTGTAAAAGTTAAAGATGTTAAAGAAGTTAAAGCTTCCAAACTGACCTACGCAGACCAGATCCATGAAGCCGTACATGCCGTAGCAGATCTGGAAGAGCACATCACGGCGCTGCCAGATGGCCTGCGGGCTGAGAGCCGACCACAGCAGCCAGGAGATGCTGGCCACCAAGAAGAGGGAACCCAGGAACACGGCGATGATCTGCACCTTCTCCACCAGGGTGATGGTGATGGACTGCCACTGAGACAGAAGACAGATAAAAACGGTTCAAACAGCGAGTCAGCAGGTGCACATAATAGTAAAGTGTGGTAATATTTAATATATCCTTCTAATAAAAGTCGGCAGGATCATTGCTGAAAGACAGTTTTCACTTTCTTTCATTTTTTAAAATCTTTTCTGTAAAAGTAACAAAGTTGTCTATAAAAATAAAGTGAATGGATGGATGATAGTCAAATTAATCCTAAAAAGCATGCTGCACACATTTTGCATCGCACCTTTTACATTTATACCCCTAGATAAAACAATTATGATGAAATTTAAGAAAATAAAGTCATTTTAATAAACATGATCCACTCCTTAAAGTATGTCTGTACCATTAGTTATTTTATTTAGACACTACATGAAATGCACACAAAAAATATATATATATATATTTTTTTTATGCTGCTTGGTTCCATGTCAACCCTAGCCAGTATTATGAAGAGCCAGATTGCTGGATTTAAAGAGTCAGATGTGGCTCCAGGTTGGAAGATCTGAGCTGTTTCTTTGTATTTGTCTAACAAACACTTTCATCTCTGTCCAAATCTGGATTTAAACTTTAATTACCATTTTAAGCTAAAGTGAGATTGTGTTCCTTGCTTTTTCACTTCGTATTATTCAGCTTAACACAAAAGAAATTCAGGTAACACCTTATAGAGTTTACTTTATTTTCTAAAACCTTATAGAAAATAACAACAGGCACTACCTCTTGTCACTTCAGCACTTACATACTAAACTATATTTCATGAATTCAATGCTAATACAACCCTTTTATCTTTTCATTACCATACCTTAATGACACTCTGAATTATTCTTTCTCTCTGTCTTCATTTCTCTTTATCACCTCTAAGCAAATTGTCCTTCTTGGTATGGATGATCTGCACAATCTAAAACAACATGATCTACCTGTTGAGTCCCCATGCTAACCATCTGTCTAAGCAGTGCCCTGATGGAACCAGCTGAGTGAAGTACCTTTACCTGCCATGGTCTCTTCATGTTGATGGCGATGACCTGGAATCGATAGCAGCAAAGCTCACAGGTCCAGCAGCCTCGTTCGCTGATCCACTTCAGCAGACACTGCTGATGGGTGTACCGCACCGAGCCGTCACACCGGCACGGGTTCAACAAATCACCCTGTAAAACCACAGAAAGTATAAGAATAAATAGGTCAAAGGCAAAGTCACACATATCTAAAGTATAAACTCAGATAAGATAAACAAACAGCAGCAAAACCTGTGAAGTTTTGGTGCCTTATCTCTAATAATTAAATGTTTCTCTATATAAATGTTGAATTTTTTTTTCATATGAAAGGCTTATTTATGTTAAATAGATAAGCTGAGATAAACAAAACATGAAACCACAATTAATCAAGCAAAGTACTATAGTATAAAATATATACTAGCCTTTATAAGAATATGGTACAAGAATAAATCTCTTGTTGCTTTAAATAAACCTGAGGGGGAGTTTTCAACTTTGATACTTTACTGCAATAACCTGGTTGAACCGGTGTGCACACCTCTAGTTGTCAGCAGTTGGTTTGCTTGAGTACAAATTAGTTATCAAATAAAGTTAATCTGATTAACCTAAAACAAAATTTTGCCCTTCTTCCATGATTCCCCTGATGTTTGCATCCTTTAGCTTAAGCTGCTGCAACATTACGAAGGCTAAAAATCACCGTCTCACTCATAGAAGTAGTTCAGTGGAATAAAAGTACAGGATTTTAAAGCTTTAGATTTTGAGTGCCTCACATTGAAAAAAGCCATCAGTAGTTTCAAAGTCGCAAGGATAGAAAAATAAATATATTTTTCCAAACTGAAAGGATGAAATCAAGTCAGTGTGGAAGTGGGTGAAAACTATACAGAAAATAAGTAACTCTCAGATTTAGATGAGACAGCAATCTCCTGTATCCTCCATACATCCAGATAAAGGAGTGAAGATGCATTTATGTGGGTGAATATAATACAACCTTCAAAACTTTGCTCTAAAATGTATGTCTTTCCCAAAGAAAATCAACATAATGTAACACCTAAAAAATCACACCCACATATAAACATGGTGGTGTGAGGATCATGCTCTGGGGTTATTTACAAAAGAAATATAGTGTCATGGAAATTATGAATAAATGCAAATACTGGCAAGTTCTGGTCTCAGGTTTTTACCACAAAAACTAAATATAGAAGAATAAATAAAAAAAAATAATTGAAGTTTATTAATCTCAAATTGGAGAAATTAACTCTGCATTTAACCCATCCTCTTTGGAGAGCAGTGGGCTCCCACTGTTTGATGCCCGGGGTTAAGGGTCTTGTTCAGGGACCCAGAGTGCCGGCTGTAGTGATCGAACCGGATACTTACAACCTTCTCTCAGCACAAGTGCACTGATCTAACCACTAGGCCATCACTCCCCCTCAAAGAGGGATATTATATACATCCATATATATATATATATATATATATATATATATATATATATATATATATATATATATATATATATATATATATATATATATATATATATATATATACAGTGAGTCCAATTTCACAATGAATATTATACATACTTTTCTTAAGAACAGTGTAATTTAGGGAGGGATGAGAATATTAGGTAATTTAAGAGATTTAAAGTACTTTTGTGAAACATTTGTCCAAATATCTGCATTTGTCCAAATATCTGCATTTTTTGAGGTTTGAGTTGTCATTCATGCATGTAGCCTCTTTGTGGATGTGTTCCTCCAAAAATATATGTTTTTATTTCGTATATATTCATAAAAATAACAGTATTTTGGGGAAGCAAACAGCTCAAACTTCAATTTGAAGGTCCATCTAAAACAGTGATTTTCAAAGAGGACCCGCCAGGGGGCGCTAGGAGAGCCTTAAAAAAACTAGGGGGGAAAAAAAAAATAATATGCAAAAGAAAATATTAAAAATACATTTTGTTATCAAAAAATATATCTTAAACATCTTCTTTATAAACTATAACTTATAATCCTATATAATTAGCCTAGTTAGAGGCTCTTCCTCTGTCTATCTAAGCAAGAAAGGGCTATCCAACCTTGGCTGGTCCTTCAGGTCACTGAGATGCCGTTTGCTTTTACAATAATATACTTGTTTGTATGACTTGTTTGACTTTTAACTCTAAAGCTACTCAAAACAAAAAATGAAGCATGTCCAGATGTGGACAGTGATGACACTAACAGGCCCAGTCCTTCCTTTACGCTCTCATAACAACAGCTTCATAAAAAATGATTGGTTACAAATATAAACAAAGTATGGACATGGTTATATTTTACTGCAAAGCAATTTTGATAATAATAAATGAATAGGAATAAAAGTAAATCAAACATTCTAATAGTTGACTTTTCTTTAGATATTTTATAGGATTGTCGGTTAATTTGCAAATGGATGAATGGATGAATGAAAATCTAAAGGCTGAGTGTTGTGCCTGTTTTTGACTTTCTTTTTTAATACAAACTGCTTTAAGGTGATAAAGCTACAAATGTAAATGTACTTTTTTTGTGTGCAAACATTTGATCTGTTTTCATCAGTAAATCAGTGCCTAGTTTTATGTTTCCAGACTCAAAATTTGCTGATGGCTTCTTTAGAAATAGAGAAATAGAGGATGCAGGACAACTTGTGCATGCACTGTATTATATTACCCTAAACTTCACTAAGACGTCTGTAGCTGCAGCAGGCTTGATTAATGACAGTGGGTCCAGGTTGGTGGATCCTGGTGCCAAAAACCAGGAGGAAGATTAAAAACAGCAAAGTAAGGGGTTTAGAGAGATTCAGCGCTGAATTTATAATCACTAAGTTTCATGTAGGTGTCTTTCATAATGCCTGGTTAGACTCCACTAACAAAGAGGTGCTTTATCATCATGTTTTGCAAGGAAAATAATGAAAGTTTCCTGAAAGGAACATTTTCAGAGCAATTATTGTGTCCTTGAAGCTCAGTTACTGCAGATTCCTGTAAGCAAGTAGGAAGCGAAGGGAGTGGCTTGGCATATAGAGGAACACATTTAATCTAAAGCAATGATGGAATTTTTCTGCAGATTTTCTCTTTTTACAGCAAGCATCTCAGGGATATTTGACTTTATTTTCACATAACCAACCAGATTCCTTCTGTTCATTTGTCTTCACACCCTCCAGGCTGTTATACAAAGCGATCTGCATCTATCAAAGTTACAGTTATTACATTTCACATCGACCAGTCCCTGTCGCATCTTTAATAAGTTTTGAGGATAGGAGAGAAGCTGTCTGTTTCTGATTTACTGCAAAACCACGATCCAGGATTAATCCTCCATTCATTTCCATGATCTAAATTTCCCCATCACCAAAACACCTTTTGTTTTAAAGACTCAACTTTGCTCTTTTCCCTCCAGCATGTGATTCATCAAAATACACCCATAACTTGTCCACCAGAGGGCCTAAAGTCAGTGATCATTTCTCAAACCTACAGCAGGATGCAGCTTGGAATTAATCATCACAGCTATTTCTCCCTTTTCTCCTTCCTATAGGTGTTTTTTTTTTCAGACTTTCCTGCAGGCCTGACCTGCCAGCTGGGTTGAGACGGGCATATTAATAGCATATTAAGGTCAGTGGAGCTTATTTTCCATGGAGTCATATTAACCTTATGTGTTTAAAATGACCTCAGAGGCTCTGAGTTCAAACTGGTCAGTCCTCCAGTAAAGGAGTGCATGATGAATCGAACAGAAAACATTATTTCAAAATTAGTCCTGACTTTAATGAAGGCTTTATGAAATGAATGTGACAAGAAGACGACCTACGGTAGCAGGAACAGAAATATAATCTATCCTGAAGCTACCCTTAAGTACTGCTTTGGGAACCTTTATTTCCTTATTTTTCTATTAATAACTTTTAAACTTGACCTACTTTTAAAGGTAAAGTAAAAAGGTTTACACCGTTGGTACAAACATCAGAGGTTAAATGACAGGATCTACAGTAACTTCATCTTTAGAGAAAAATGCATCCTCCTTTCATTAAAGTGCAGTTTCTAAACTCAGTGATGTAATAAGAGTTGGGAGCCATCCGGGTCTTAATGTCCTTCCTATGAAATCATTATTAAATGCAGAAGAAGAAAGACTTTTGTTTGAACTCTACTGAACTAAAAGCCTGCAGAGGGCATTTAGGCATCATTCAGAAAAACCCAGTTTACACCTAAGATCCCAGGGACATCATGGTTCACTGCTGTTCAATTATTTGACTGAAAGTAATGATGAGGGGTCAGTCTTCCTCTTTTCCTATAATTAAGTCAGCTAATCACTTTGATAATAAAGCTATATATACTTTGAGCATCTTATATATTTCATTTATTTACCTAAAATAATAAACGTCACAGCAATTTAAACAGAAAGCCAACAGGCAGTAACATACTGGTCTTTTCAAAAACTTCCCAGGTACTTTTCCATAACTTACTATCTGGTACATTTCTAGAGCTTTCACTTTGGAATTTTTTTAGAGCTAAATTTCCCAGTAACTTTTATTTCCCTACCTGAATAATAACTTTGTTTATGGTTCTGTCCTGAAATAAACTAAGAAGCTAAAGAGTATCTCCTGGTACTTTCCAAAAACCTTCTTTTCTCAACCATTCTTTTTACAACTTTCCAACAACTTACTTTCTTGTACTTTCACAGCTTTCTTCATTATTAGAATTTCCCTTGAGTGTACCAAGTTACTTTTTAGAACCTTACAAGATACAGGCTAACACCTATATGATATACATGATTAAACAAATTAATTTTAGGTCATATTATAGTGTTATTTGTAACAGAAGCTAATACCCTGTCAATTCCAGGAAAGTTAAAAAGATATTTCAGCATCTATGTGGGACCAGAATATATTTTATTTATGTTTTATTTACAATAAGGTATATGCAAATATGTAAATACATTTGTATGGCTGTAGTTTTGATTTTTGAAGGAAAAATATCATTAGTTGACCTTAGCGCTTATTGTTTTGGTCTGCCGAGACTAATTAAACATTTTGACAGGGCAATATAATCTAGGTAATGTCTTTAATCATAATTATCAGCTTAATTTAGACATTTATAAAAGGTCATGTAAGGTCTGAAAAGGTCTAAATTAAGTTTGGTTTTGGGGAGCATGACTAACCGGTAAGTTTCATATAAAGGTTTAAGGATTGTATTTCAGTTCAACTCCTAACATGCTTTCTGTGTTTTATTAAAGCGCTGTCTGGAAGATTTAGAATGAAAAATGCCTTATAAAAGTATTTAGCCTCCTGAAACATCTTCAGTTTTGGACACATTATCATAAATTGAAATGTATTTTAACGTTGTTTTGCGGAATTGTCTTGTACAGAGGACAACATAATTATGCAATGAGAAGGAAATAAGTAACAAGACGTTTGAAAGAACACATATTATTTGTAGTCAGAAAAAAAACTTTGCTGTGTTTGTAGAAGTGATACTTCTGGGGTTATATCAGCTTCACTCATTTACTTTATGATTATGATTAATGAAGGTCAGAGAGAAACAAATGCTTTCAAATAAATTAAGTCTAAACTTTAAATAGACCATTCTAGAACATAATTCTGCTCAACCAAACCATTTTCTGCAGGTCTGGTTGTACGATTAGTCTTTCTCAGCGCATCTGAAGTCAGTTTTCTTAGCATAGATTAAAATGGTGCAACTGCTTTTCAGAACCTCTGAAACATTTGTTCTTGAAGCCATGATTATGTTATACCAGAAATATATAAATATACAAAAGAAAACATTTTAAAAAGAACATTTAGTTAAAATTAAAAACATACATTATTGGATTTTTGTGACATTTGCAAATTTATTCAGTATTTTTATCAATAGATCAAAGGTTTCTCAGAATAACTTTATTCCTGACACGACAGCAAAAGTGGTCGGAAATTCACCTATAATTCAAATTATTAAACTATTCAAGTTAAGGGAGCAGAAAAGGTGTCAAATCTGATCAGTTCAGCTTTTCTAATGCCAAACCAATCAGGCATCCACAGAGATATTAAATATGAATCTACCATATCATTTTGAGCAGGTTATTTTGTTTTTTGATAACTAGTAAGCTTTTCCTAGGTTCTCAGGCTTATATCACAATCAAATATAAGTCTGGACCCGGAGGCAGAGTTATTAGATTTGATCTGCTAATAGGCTGGAGCCCACGTTGAGAAGACAGGATATTCACTTAGGCGTTTACTGCCCTGACTCCTGTTTCCCTTAAGCTCTGCTAGCAATGAATCGTCCCTCATCAGGGGCCTCTGCTGTCACGAGCCAAACAGGCCTGCAGAGTCTCAGATTTCAGCAAAGCCTGGACAGAGAGTTGATTTGTCCCTGCAGGTCCACATCTGTCCATCCGCTTTCAGGAAGACCTGCAGACAAATTGGTGCATTGCTTGGGGAGGGAGCTTTAAACTAATTATGGTTTGGTCACTGTCCTGCACCTCTAGTGTGACAGATATGGTGAAGATTTGTATACCTAAACCAACACATTTCATCACTTTATGAGTATTTTAAAGTAATCTACATGAATGTTTATCTCTTTGTCAGTTTTGCTGCTGTCCTAAGATTAAAAAATACATATTTAACATTATAACAAATGGCCTACACATGTAAAGCACTTTTATAGAGTCCAAGGACTCCAATGCACTTCACAGTATAATCAGTCATACACTCACTGATTCATAGTGGTAAGCTGCAGCATATCTGCCATACAGTCAGCATCACCAAGCCCACTGACCAGGCCCTCTGGCAGTAAAGTGGAGAGACATACAAGGGTTTGGAACCAGCAACCCACAGCTTACAGGAAGAACTCCTACACCTATAAACCATTTAAAGAGTTGTGGTTTGATCTCTCTGAGCTTCTCCATCCCTTCACTCCTTCTTTGTGCCTCAGATCAGCTGAGTTGAATTGTTTTCCTCTTCACTGTCTATTTTTAAAAATCATCTTATTTAGTGTAATTTTATTTTTTCTATTTATTTATTTTTACTTGTTTTATTCTTTTAAGCTGTTTTGTTGTTCTTATACTATTTGATTTCTTTGGTATGTGCAGCACATTGTTGCAGCTGTGGTTGTTTCAAAGGGCTTAAATATAAAGTGGAGTTGAAGTTGAGTAATTGTAAATGTCATTTCAGAACATAGTTTCCTCTGAAGGACTCTGACAAATCTTTAAAAGATTTTTTTTGTTGCAATTAAAAGATTTTTGTTTTAAAATTTCCTGACTGATCGTATAGAAGCAAACAAGGTAATGTCAGCCCACAACACCATGGATCCCACCCTACGCCTAACTAAAGGCTGGGGCAAAGCAGCGGCGTTGGATGTAGGAGTTTGCCCTGAAATCGAAGGGTTGACGGTTCAAGCCCCGACTCCGACTTTCAGTGTCGTTGTGTCCTTGGGCAAGACACTTCACCTGCATTGTCTACTGATGGTGGTCAGAGGGCCCGATGGCGCCAGTGTACGGCAGCCCCGCTTCTGTCAGTGAGCCCCAGGGCTGCTGTGGCTACAATGTAGCTTGTGTGCATGAATGGGTGAATGAATGTAGAGTAAAGTGCTTTGATCAAGTCTCCTAACTTGAATAAAGGTGCTATATAAGTACATGCCATTTACCATTTAACTATAATCCTACAAAAACCTATTAACTTGGAGAAATCTGGTTAATTTTAAAGGCACATATACGATTTTTAAAGTCACTGGTCGTCTCACAGGTGGAACATCTGGAGGAAATTGCGTTATTTCACTCAGGAAAACTGCTTTTAGTCACTAAGCCTTTTCTGATATTATTCCAACACCAATCAGGAAAAAATAACAGTTATAGTCTCTTCTGTGAATAGATGATAACGCTGACTCATTAGATTAGACCAGTTAACACTGAGCATGTGCTGCTGCCATCTTGTCTTTTCTTGAGTGTGTTTTTTGAGGGATTTCCATCCTGCTGCTCCTGTTTTTTTTTGGTTGCTTTTTTTTTTTTTTTTACATTTGTATAATAACTAATATTTTCCTGTGTCGATTGTGTCTCTTAAAAATTTTACTGTATTCTTAAAAGTTACTTATGTTATTAATGAATTTTAGGAATGTCATATCTTGATCTATTGATTTATTACTTGTTTGTTCTTCTCATTGTCTCGGTTTGTGTTGATGCTTCAAAATGTTTTATTGCATGCTTTAAATCTTCTTTCCTTGTATCTATTTACTTTACACCTTTTTAGGGGGCACTTTTCTCATCTCGTCATGAACTACGGATCCATTCTGGCCTTTTGGCAAACTAGCATATTTTAGATTTGCACTCTTATATGTAGGGGGTGCATTTGCATCAGCCGGTTGATTGATTGGCCTCAATTTCCTTAATTTTGGGAGATCTGTGATCAGCCAATACTTTAATGTGAAAACAATCTTATCCACCAACCTGATCCACCTGTACAGGTCTAAAAGTCACACACTCTAAACTTTTATTTATATTTGAGAGCAGAGGTCTGATAAGTTGTAATCATTTCACAGGTGCTTATAAGATCGGTAAGGTAAGATAAGATTAAAATATTAAAGGTATCTTGTTATCTTAGAACAACTGACTGTGTCATTGTCTGTATTGGTCAAACGTAGATTCGGTGTCAGGCTTTTTAAATATCAGAAATTGGTGGTCAGCCAGAAAGCTGCAATTGGTGCATCCGTGTTAATATGCATTTCCCTTTAACAATGAATTCAATTGCCAATTCAAACTTCATTAAATTAAACTAAATTACCTTATACTAAACTATTTAAATTGTAATAATCAGAACAGAAAATGTATTTTTTGGAAGACATCAACCAACAATAGGTTGGCATAGAAACTAATGGTTGTGATGGAGGACATTCTGCTCACTGTGCATGTTTGCAAAATCAACTTTGATCATCAGTTACCTTTATTTGATTTTTTTCTGGATGTAGCTAAAGACTGGTTCACACCAGTATTCGTTTCCTTCAAATTGCACATTTTCTGTGTCAATTTATTCTGACAATTTTACATTTCTTCTATAAAAGCCACATTTGTATAGTTCTTAATAGTTGGCCCGTCAAAATTTCACATGAGCTGGATATCTCAGCAGCTCCTCCATATTACCACTACTCTCTTGGTGATGTGGATTGACATATCTTCTAAGGTCATTGTCCTCCCTGACCTGCTCTTCATTAACCTTCTTATGCTCTTTATTTTGGGGCAAAAACATACATTAATTTTGTAGGTTTGTGTTGATCTATAAGCAAATGTAAATGAAATATATGAATATTTGTGTTTGTTTCATAAAAAAAAGTCCAAATGCATAGGAAAACTTTTAAAAGGTTCTGTCATCAGGGTTTCAGCAGGTTCTTATCAGTGAGCTCATTTTTAGAAATGGTGATAAACTGTCAGGAGTGATTTCAGCTCCATGCTTATTCAGTCCTGCTCTCTGAATTATTAATAAAGCAATCACACCACCGCAGATTTCTAACAATAAATGCTTCAGATTCCTGTTGCGTCTGATCCCAGAGAGCTCTCTCAGCAGAACTGAAAGTCATCTAATCAGCATGAGAAGCTGCCACTCAGCAGCTTGACTTCACTCTAATTAGACTAGAAGCTGCCGTCAGCCAATCAGAGGACAGCATGCTCACCTTCACTGTAACTCCCTCCACGGACAGATCGGCTGGAGAGCAGTGAGAACCAGAAGCAGCAGCCTACCTGTTCTGCTCCCTGGAAGCAGATCCTGCAGCTGGGGGTCGGGATGCATGTGTCGCTGCTGCAGGTTGAAGGTATCGCTTTGTCAGATCTGCCCCCCACCGCCCCCTCCTCGCTGGAAGTGTTCCCCCCGTTGTCCTCTCTGAATTTCCCATCGTCAGCCGCACGCGCCCGGCCCTCCTCCTCCTCCTCTTCCTCCTCCTCATCCTCTCCTGGCTGCGGCTTCTCCTGGCCGTCGGGCTGCGGACGTCCTTGGGAGCCGAGCGGGTCGCTCTCCTCCCAGGTGTGGCGTTTGTTGTCGGTCGGAGACCCCCTCGCCTCCCCCCATGCCGCTCCCGCATCTCCCCCCTCTGTGCTCATAATAAAATGCAAAGTCAATATTAAATTGCATAGATGCCTCCCCCCTTACTGCGGGATCCACGTCCACTGCCACGCAGGGATTCGATCAGATCCTCCTCGGTTCGGCTCTCCTAAAAGAGCTCGGTCCGCCCGCGGAGCTGCACATCAGCAGCCGGAAGCTCCTGATGCTGGAACCGCCTGATGCGCTCCGGAGAGCCGCACAGCAGCTCCATGCTCCTCCCTTGTCCAGATCACCTTCTTCCCCCCCTCCTCGGAGCAGAAAGAATAAAAATTTAAAAGAAGTCCTCCTCCTCACCCCGCTGTGGAGCAAAATAAAATAATCCTTCCCAAGTCAGCTGCAAGTTCTCTGAAGAAGCCCTGATCTGTCAGGAAGCAGCAAAGAGCATTTCTCCTCGGAAATGACCAATCAATCACATTATTATCCCATTAATATGATGGAGGGGACGAGTTTCCAGAGGCAAACAGAAACTACTCTGAGTAGAAGCGGCTGTAGGAGGTATGAGCTGGCTGATGATCCCAGCAGCAGCATCAGGACCAGGAGGAGGAGGAGGAGGCTCCAGGTCAGTCAGTCTGACACAGAGAAGACTTGATGTGCTGAAACGTGGCGACCCGCTCAACTCCTCCTCCTGGTCTTAAAGGAATCACCTGCTGGTGCACAGATGTCATCATCAACATCATCATCATCACTGTCAGGAGTGGCAGCTCAGACCTCTAAACATCAACATGAATGTGGCTTTATAAGGAAAGTCAGATGAGAATATAAAACCTGAATAAATAGATGCAGAAAAAATGTATGACTGCAAATCAGTTTCTGGATTTTGATATTTTTCCAGCTATCTGGTGTCTTCTGGGCAGGTCAGGTTTACTGCATATTAAGTACAAGGACAATTCAAAGTAATCTACATACATTAAACGGTAAAATAGAAGACAATAAAAGCAAATAATAAATGTAATAAACATCATAAAAGTAGGTAGTAAAACAAATAAACCAGTTGGATCACAACCTTAAACTAACAATTCCTCTTTTAGAAGTTTATCTTCAGCAGTGAAAGACAGCTCAACTAAATGGGTTTTTTACTTTGACCTAAAATAACTTGGGTTTTCATCACTTTTCTAGTTTTCTGGGAGTTTGGTCCAGAGCTGTGGAGCATAGGAACTAAAAGCTGCTTCTCCATATTTGGTTCTAGTTCTGGGTGAACAGAGTAGGCTGGAACTAGAAGACCTGAGTGGTCTGGGAGGTCGATACACAGACAACAGATCTGTTATGTATTGAGGTGCTGATTTATTTAGTAATTTATAGACTAAGAGAAGGATCTTAAAGTCTATTCTATGAGCTACAGGGAACCAGTGGAAGGACTTCAGAACTGGACCGGTGTGCTCTAATTTCTTAGTTCTAGTGAGAACTTGGGCAGCAGAATTTTGGATCAGCTGCAGCTGTCTGATGCACTTTTTAGGCAAACTTGTGAAGACACTGTTGCAGTAATCGATTCTACAAAAAAATGATGATGTGTTTCTCTATATCTTGCTCCGACATTAGTCCCTTAATACTGGAGATGTTCTTCAGGTGCTAAAAGGCTGACTTAGTAACTGCCTTTATGTGCCTCTGAAGGTTCAAGTCTGAGTCCATCATGACACCAAGAACTCTGCCATAATCAGTGACTACTAGCTGTAGTAGCTGAAGCTGTGAGATAACTCCTTTGGTCCGAAGATTATTACCTCAGTTCTCTTAATAAGACCTGTGGGTAAAACATCCAGACAGCAGGAAGAGGAGCTTAGCTGCTGAAACAATCTAAACTTTTGCAGTTTATTTGGCCGAATTGGGGCATTTTAACAGAGTTCATTCTAACTGGAGACAGTATTGGTACTGGAGTTGACCTTGATGTACAGACAGCTTTTCTAATACCTTATATTTTCTCAGTAAATTGGAGTACTGGCCAGATTGTGACTGTGTCTATGCTTCAGATGGAAGGGCAGGTAAAAACAAAAAAGGAAAGTTATCACTGTGTGTGCATGTTGTTGCTCTTTTTAGCTCTTCCCAACAACATGATAATGGATGGATGGATGGATGGATGGATGGATGGATGGATGGATGGATGGATGGATGGATGGATGGATGGATGGATGGATGGATGGATGGAAGGACGGACGGACGGACGGACGGACGGATGGATGGAAGTTAGCAAAGGGTGCAAATGTGTTGCAAATAGAAAAATTAGACTAACAAACAAACAAAAAAACATTCAAAGTAAAACACTTCAAAAGAGAGATGCTGCAATCACATAAAACAAAGTGAGGCAAAGTTAGAATTTGCTGCAAAACATATGTTATGCTGTTGCTACTGTGGCAGTTTCAAAAAGTTTTCATAGGGGTGGCCAGGCAGGGACCAGTGTGCAAAAAACTGCCAAAAACATATTACAGTCAATTTATGTTGTTCACAATCAACCAACAGGAAAATTAACATCTATGTTTTCCAAATAAATCAATGAGGACAGACTAGATTTTCATGAAGTCTTTGCTAATAAAGCTACACTCATATTTATAGATTGATGCTGTTTAAATTAATCTACGGCTCTACATAATATGTATATACATTACCTGGGTTGCTTTGTTATCTTTAATCACATAGAAGACTGCAGAGAAAAACTCTCCACTATAAGACCTCAAAACTAATTAGTAAAAGAGCAAGAACTGTGTATTAGCCATCTTTATTTCTAGTATTTTTTTGTTTATATTGTCAGTTTTTAGTTAACAAACAAACTTTAAAATGTCAAAGTTGGACTTTCAACATGATAGTAAGACCGCTGCCAACTTCTGTGTGGAGGAGGACTATTTGTTCCATTGTTGGTGAATTATATCCAAATTGGAACAACAAATCAACCGAAAGGGGTGACCACAGAGTGGACAATGATTGGCTCAGGGTGGCCATGGTCCCCCTGATGTCATCTCTAGATCAGCCCCTGTATCCTAAAAACAAGAGTCCATCAAAACTGCACCCTTTAGATTAAAAATAGTTTAAAGTTCATTTAAAAATAGACAGACAAATTCTTTTGGTGAGATTATGTACCTCTACAGCAATTAAAGTCAGTATGTTACTAGGTAAACATATAACATATATTATATTATTTTATATATTATAAAATCAGTGTTATGACATGAAAGCTTCATAATGATTCCAACTATATAATTCTATATCCAACAATTTTATGTTAGGCATTGTTATTTTAATACAATTCAATTCAGTTTATCCAGTCATCCATTCACTGACTTGCAAGAAATGCTCCTCCTGGATGAGCCTGCTGTGACAACCTGGTCTTGCATTTTGCTGCTGACTCCTCAGCAATCTCTCACACCAAGCATGCATATAACAACAGTGGAGAGGAAAACTCGCTTTTAACAGTAAGAAACCTCAAGCAGAACCAGGCTCAGTGTGAGCGGCCATCTGCAGAGGCTGACTGGGGTTCAAGGAGACAGAAGCAGAGATACAAAAAGAAGCAGAGATTCAAAGGTAACAGTTTAGTAGCTCCACAGGCAGCCTTGACCAGAGGACGAAAGAGAGCAAACACAGTTGGACACAGTTGCTATTTTGGATGAGGTATAAGAAAGGTAAAGCCAAGGAGAAACATCATTATAACCTGATATAGACGTCTATGATAATTAAGGATATCCCAATCCGATACTGATATAAGAAAATGTTCTGATATTAGCCAGAAAAAAAAGAATGTTTGAATATATCAGCCTGCATCTAAAGTCTCTTATAGAAATACTCTGCATCTGCCTAAAGTTAATCTGCCTAAACACATTAATTAATGATAAATAGGTCAGTTGTTCTCACTTCTATTGTTGTTAGCAATTCTTCTCTGTTTGATCATTTCATCAAGCGATTTCTAACATCTCATAATACAAAATGAGGATTAAAAGCATGTATAATTTGTGCTGATATTGTATTGGGCCAATATCTGTATCAGTGTATACTCAAAGCTGCAATATCAGTATTTTATTGGATATGAAAAAGGTTATATCAGGACACCCCTAATTGCAATACTGTGATATTGTTGTATTATATAAGGATGTAATTTTATATTTTTCTGTGGTCTACCCTACAGGAGTCGCCAGTTTTTTCAGGGACTCTAGGGGACCTGTGCATCTCCAGCAGTTACTCCATCCATCACACACCAACACACACAGTCATACCTAAGGGCAATTCAGGGAAACCAATCAATCCAACAGTCGTGTTTCTGTAGGAGTAAGATGGAGTACCTGAAGAGAACCCACACATGCACAGGAGGACATTGTTTCTGATATTAAAGCTGAGGTTTGCTGCTTTGGAATGTAAAAAAATGAGCCTTTTTTATACAAATAAATGACAAACTACTGAGTCCAAAATGATACACTCAAAGATAAAGTCTTGTGTTCTCCTTTTAGTAACTTTATCTGTATCTTTAACTTTTTTTTCCACCAAATGATACAGAAAATTCAAAAGTAAGCCAAGATGGTGCCTAATCACATTTTATGTAAAACAAGGAACCGTTCTGCAGCATTTAGGACATTCTACACCAAACTTTCAAGAACTGAGCACTACATCATTATGTAGTGAAAAGATGAAAGGTCAGGAGATGAGAAGGTGTTAGTCTGGGAAGGGTCAGAGTTCACCATAGAGAGAACCTGTCTCTGATCAGACTGAACATAGTACCTTCTTATTGGTCTCCAAATGGACCTGATAATGAAGTTCAAGGAGCCTCAGCCAGAGATCCATTTCAGTGAGAAGAATGCATTTCCAAGAACATTCTCCGTTGGTTTTTATTTTTTCTTTAGAGGATGTCTTTCACTTTCCGGAGAGCGGGCCCAGTAATGGACTCTAATGCAGCAAAGGAAATTATCCACTCATGTCCAATCAGTACCTACAAAGCTTCGATCAATAGCAGGTCCCCAGGGCTCAGATGGAGACCAGAATCGTGCACAGAACTGAGGGGTGGGTGGGGGGATTTAGGGTGGTTGATGACTAACTTCTATTATTACTTTAGTTTTACCTGAGTGTGTTTCATCTATTCAAACAACTACGGTACCAAACTTACATGAACTGAGCTTTAACTACGGTATAACTGTTGCATCTTAGTTAAACTGGGACAACACTGCAAGACTTTCTGTCTTTATGGATTCTGAACAGAGTAAAGCATCAAACTCACGAGGGCAACAGGTTAAACAAAAAAAAAAAACAACAACAGAAAAACGTGTTGATAGACGATATTTATGTTTATACTCATGCTGAAAACTTCAAACATGTCCCTTTTCCATGTAAAGTTACTACTTACTTCTTGCCTTTGAATATTTCATTTAATCTAAAACTTTTATTAATATCTCAGCTGACCTGAATAATGGCCTTGATTGTGCAAATGAATGCTTAAGAACTTGTAATAAACCCATTGGTAGGAAAATATTGGATTTAGAAACATTGTTTCCTTTATGATTAATAAGTGTTGGTTTGATTTTTTTTTAATTAGGACCTTGTTTTAGTCCAAAATAACAGATTTTCTATACATTGCTATTTCCCTTTTTTATTTCTACATCTTCTTTATGAGTAGTTTGGCTCTTGATTGTAATTTTTTTTGTTAACTAAATAAAGCTAATC